AACTTTTATTGTTATCAAAACATCAAAACATTATACTAAAATTTCTCAACCCGCATATCGCACAATCACTCGTCCATGCACAACTGAAGATGAACAGGCGCCTTGGATCCTATATCAAACTAAACATATGTTTATAGTGCTTTTTGGAAAACATAAATACCACAAATGGTACTTAACTAATGATTCTGATTACATTGAGTCCAACAACTCTTTTCTGATCTTTACATTTCATTGATTTAGCTACAATCTTGTACCGGAAACTGATATTTTGCCCGATTTATTCGTTTTCAAAACTTGCATGACTCTCTCATATGGTCGGAATCGTGCATATCGACCCAAGATGGTGTGTTTTTAACGACGCGTGAATAATACACTAAAGTTTGAGCAGCTCTACTAATCGACACCTTCTGTTTAAGCACTAGCCAATAACACCATCGTATTCTCTGAGATTCAAACATTACAATGATACCAATATTGACGTACTTCCCTGGCACTTTGTTCTTCAAGGGCATGCTGACTAAGATTGAAGAAGATCGGGTAAACTTATGTTACTAAATTTACTCAACAATTGTGAAGCCCCATTATAAGATTTTGACTAAATGATAGTATTAGTCAATAGCTTGAAAGCGTGGCATTATTATGATTATTTTTTCATAATTGCAAAAAAGCTTCATTTAAAATTTGAAATTTTGGATTTTTTTGAAAAATTAATTTATAAAGTAGCCAGAAAAAAATTGAGGTACACTTTATTTTTGAAATGTAGAATTTTTGAAAACTTAAAGTGCTTTGAATAGCTTTAAACTTTTCCATATGATAGTTCAGTCTCTTTAAATTGTATTAGCATGAAGATGAAACCTTATTTTGTATTCTAATACTGAAAAAATTGGCGTTTTTTACAAAATTTTGGAGCGTTTACCACCAGGTAAAAAGAAAATTTATAAATCTCAACAATTTCGTGTTGGGGTGTATTTGGGAGAATTTTCAGGAAGTGCTTTTTGCTACTTTTTTTGGATCGAGTTCCCTAATACGCATTTTCTTTTTACAAGCTTTAAACAAGATATTTGAGTACTACATAAGTTGTGATGCCTTACTGAAATGTATCTTAATAGTATGCAAATGTCATAGATTTTAAAATAGTTAGATATTCCTGTTTTGGAGCTGATTATTAGAGTATAGTACTAGAAGCAGAGTTTTGATTACATAATGTAGAAATCGTCTTATAAAAAAATAAAGATATTAAATAAAAGTGATATAAGTAGGAAACTGGAGAAGTTTAGCTATATAATACTTGCCACAATACAAAAATAGACTAATGTAGCTTACTTGGATAATAAACATCAGGTCTAGAGTCGTGTATTATTGCAAAAATTTCACCAATAAATGCCCTTTACCCAAAGTTTCTGAAGTATGATAGAATGCACTTCAACACGTAAAACGCAACCATACTCTATAGATTTAGATAAGTAATCTGGCTTTCAAAACAATCCGTCAGATGCGTATATGTTGCCATCTAATTTGCAAACCTTTTCAACAAGTATATCTCAAACATTTATACTTCTAAGTCCTTAAATATCGATAATATTGGCTCTTAAGTTTTTCAGATGTTGAAAAGTAATAAAATTTTAGTTCAGTTGAGTTTGTGTTGAAAAATTATTAAATTCCTAACTATAGCTAAGTTATTTATAACAAGATTAAAAAAGAAGTATTGATATATTATAGCTGGGCTAAAATATTGAATCTTTTGGGTGAATATTGGTGATTAACATGTTTGATTCATTCAAGTACGAAAATGTTCATTCTAAGAAACGTAAAATAAAATGTAGATTGGGTAACTAAATATAAGACAGCCACAACAACACCAAACAACACCAAACAATATAGATCATGATATAGTTATATGCCAGAACAAATAAATAACTTATAATGTTTCATAGAATACCAAACTTCAGCAAAAACACCAAAGTAATGGGATTTAAATAACTCTTTTTATTTAAGTCAACAGCTCAAGAAAACCTAACAAATCTGGATAAACTGAACCACATACAAGAAGATATGATAAAATATAATGAATGGTGTTCATTTTGATCAATTATATTTCCAATTCTGGCTTAATTATTGTATTGTAACTGATTTTTTTGTTGCATTAAAGCTATCAACTTCAAGTGATTAAATTTAAATGCCTGAAATATCAATCTTAATTGAACAGCTATTTGTATCCCATGAACAGTTATTTTAGTCAATAAAAATAGTGATGATGCATATGAACTTTCTAAATTCCATTATGAACTACCATATACCAGCATATTGAGCATTAATGATGTTATTTTGATTGATTTAGTTGGCTCTTTAATTTTGACATATACCAAAAAACTTTTGAGACTCGATTTTTTGGTGGAAATCCATCAAAATTTTAGCTCGAGACCTCCCAGCAAAAATTATCTTCAGCTAAATTTTTTTTTTCTCCCAAAATTGAGTCTCAATTTTCGCCCTCCCAGCCAAATCTAAAAATCCCAGCCAAAATTTTCAAAAATTTGAGACCTCCCAGCCAAAAGTTCGAGGACTGCAATTTTTTTGTTAGTAGCTCGAAAATTAACTATGGGAAAAACAAAAATTTCAGGTGTATGTATATAAAATTATTGAGGTCAATAAAAATTTTGAAATACATTAATATATATATTAATTTTTTTAAAATATATAATATATAATATATATATAATTAGCTGTACAGCTTATATAGCTGCCTACTAGAGTACGAATTATGTATAATTTTTTATACATTGTCTACTTCAAAATTATGGCCAATCTGCATACCAAGCTGCTAGCTTGTGCTAAATTAACTATACTATATAATAATATATTAAATTATTTGTACGTCATGAAACCATATAACTTAATGCATGAGATATTATAAGACCTAAGATATAGCTGATTTATATTTATTCTATGAAATGTACGTCCGTAAGATTATGAAAATACAATTAAGTGGTCGGAAATTTGTTACTACAAATCAATTTTATTGAAATAAAAACGGATAGAGCTCGAAGATTAAATTAGCCATGTGTGAATTGTATTTATTATAACTTTTAATGAGCTGAAATTCTCGTAGATATATCGTACTAATGAACAGCGATTCTCCAGATCACTAATTCCAAAACGCCGGGAATTTAAAAAGCATGTACTTTCAAATTTTATTAACCAATATATGTTGCTTGAAATACTGAGATTTACATATAATTAATCCACATGGATATATATTTTATATATATATATATATAATATGAATATACTTAAAATCGGAATAATTAATATACATAGAGTTGCTAAAATAGTCCTTCCAGTCAATCTTTATATCTATAATTAATACGATAATTTTATGATAGTTTTTCTTGATCAAAGACGACGTATAGGTTCTTACATACCTATAACTTTAATTTTATAATACCCAAAATTAATCCAATATAAATTATTAATATTGGATAACCGTAAACTATAGATGTCAAGTTTAAGATGATGGGAATAGTTGAATTCAATATATATATCAATGGATATCCTTGAAAGCGGGCCCGAACATATCCAGCGTAATTAGATACAGAAACTATAACTTTAACACTATTTAAATTTTTAGAGACATATTTTTAATTTGATATGCTTCATGATGTCCAGCTATAATCAGTATAATTAATTGAGTAATTATTTAGCTCCATGTTAATATTTTGCTCTATAAATTCAAGTGGCCATGAATTAATACGATCGATCATGTCGCAAATGGAGTTTCATCAACCTCCCCTTGAGACGCAGACTTAGGTTTAGCGTTTCATTTTTTCTAATATATAACTCTTTATAAAAGATTTAACATTATCGTATACAGATTACTATCACATGAGTTGAACCTGAAAGTTAAAGGTTCTTTCTTATTAACTTTAAAGTTCATGATCATTTATCAGATATGCAGAAGTTTTGTTGTCTGAACCAAAAGTAAACGCACAAGATCTCTAAATATATATCGGCTTAAAAACAGGTATTGTGTTGGGAAAGCTCAGAAAATTAATAGCATACAATAAAATTATATAGCATATGTGTATCTATACCTTTTTTTGTAAAATTTGTATCAAGATTGTTCGATTTATTAATGATTAAAGATGTGGGAGTGGCCCGACCATATGCTCAGATCGCCTAGATCTTGCGGTGCGTGGCCCAATTTTGAACCTTAACTACTAGCATTAGTGGTTTAGCGGTAAAATTCAAAGTTGCCATCTTTGAGCCCCCGGTTCGACTCCGGGCTAATGCAAGCTTACTTATTTTTTTTAAGTTTCCGGCGATTTTTTTGCTTTTTATGTCATAAGAGGACAGAATATGTCATTTTTCTACTTTTTTCAGATATAAAGTTTATGGTTCTCTTGATTTTAAGCTTTAGAGTTTATTTTAGACTTTTTTTTTGATGTTTATCGTGGTCTACGTATAATGAGCTCAATCACCCTAGTCTACGGTCTTTATCGACAGTGAATTTCGCGATCAATCACTAGCTCAGCTCCATGAACAATGCTTGTAAAAACGCTTCTACTTGGTCAATTACTTCATATACTAATTTCTAAGAATTATGTTCTTGAAGCTATAATAAAACTAAGAATTTGATTCGTATGCTACTATATTTCTCTGATATTTTACATGATTAAGGACGATTTTACTGTTCGCGTAATTTTCAAAATGGGTCCTGTTAAAACCGGATCCAAATATTTTTTTACACGTGAGTTTTGCTGAATTTTCATTATTCTATAACTATTGTGGATAATTTTACTGTGTCAAGATTTTTAATTGAAGTTCTTTATTGTGGACAGTATTGATGATTTAGCATGTCATATTAGAAATTCAATCCCAATAATAAAAACCTATTGATTTAACATGTCTTCAAGCTGAAATTAAAAATCAAGTCATCTTCCAAAATCAACCATCCTTTAATTATAAATTTTTGTCACAGATCAACAGGACATTATTATTTTGCAATGCCATTAAATCAAAGAAAGGTATTAGAGATACTGAGTATACTACTACCCATAATCACTACCAATTCATTACTCATCTCAACATCATTACTCATACCTATCATTCATTCAGATAAGTCATTTGTTCCATGTCATTTGGAATATGTTCGTACATTCATTTTATCCACAACAAGTGCATTTATAATACAACTTGGAAGTAGAAAGTTTGCATTAATTTATCATTTTAAAGTTCCAGTTGAATTTTTGGCGCTTTTATTATTAGCATATCCACAAAAGACAGAAATAGATCAAACATATTCTGAATGGAATTTAGTTAAAAGAGAAAGTTATCTTTTCGGTGCAATATATAACCTTGTTAGTGAACTTTTACAATCATATCCAAAAATTTGGAATCTATTACAAAATAGTGATGAGATAGACCAAGTATTACAACGTCAAATTTCAGAAGAGAATATAAATCAGTTAACAAGAAAGAAATCAACTTTGGATAATTGTATTAAAGTACGAAGAAATTCCCAGAGTTTGAAGAAGAACGTTTATTCATACCCATCAGATGAAGTGATACCAAACTTATCTTATCAAAATTCGATTGTTAGTGACAATTACCGAAGAGCATCAGAAACGAATCAAGATACATTAGTTATAGAATATCGTTCTGATTCAATAGAATTTTTAAATCCAACCTCAAGTTTCACAGAAGGGAATAAAACTCCATTAGGTGCATTAACACCACATCATTCACATTATGGATCTATAGAATCAATACAATCTCTCAATTTGAACGATATACCCACAAAAGAATCTATATGGCAGACCATTTGGACAAGAATGATCTGGACCATGAGCTCATCATTATATGAAATTGGTATTTCATTGATAATATCAATCACTTTCATTTATGTACCAGATTTGAACGATAATCTATTTTGCTGGTTGGAAATTTATTTTTACAATAATATATCAGAGTTCCTTCTAGAAGTTATATTACCATTGACAATAATCACTGGTGTGATTCATGAACTGGGGTCAAAATCTGTCAAACATGAGTCGAAAAAGATACAGTTGGCACTTTTCTTGTATCCAACGGTATCCGTTGGTATGTACAGTTTTGGAATGCTCAACACTTGAAAGTTCACCAACGAGACAAATTTCACTAAACACTTGAACAATCAGGAATGCACATATCTTTTATTTATTTTATTAACTGATTGAAATGTAAACAACGTTTTTCAGATCTTCATTAATTCTCGCTTTGAATCTACGTTCTAACTTCTGTGTATTTTTGAGAATGGGTAGCGCAATTTCATCTTTACAAAAAAATATAAGCCTCGAAACTTGAAAGGGCAAAAAAAATATAGGTACTTACTACTCAATCAGGCACCAAATCGTAAACTCAACTCCATCTTTTAAAGAGATTTAAATCACCAGAAGTCGTGTCATTGAATTGCCATTCTAGTTATCACATCATTATCATAAAATTGTCTTTGTTGAATACTTGAATAACAGCAAATTTGCAATAAATTCATAGCTTAGTTTTCAATAATACGCATCACCGGTTATCTGGGTTTCAACGAGGGTCTTTTAAGGGTTCAACTATTATCAATAAAACATAATGAGCTCAAATACACCACTATTAGGCGGTAACCCCCGTGCTACTCCTGTTCGCTCCTATGCTAGTCACGTCGTTCACGTTACAAAAGTTACATTAGCTTCATCTCCAGTCAATTTCTTGTTGATTTTTGCACCATTAGGTATCATTGCTGGTAAATTAGGATGGTCTTCAAATGCCATCTTTGCCTTAAATTTCCTTGCAATTATCCCATTAGCATCATTACTGGCTTTTGCTACTGAAGAATTGGCTAGTCATGTTGGTGAAACCCTGGGTGGGTTATTAAATGCTACTTTTGGTAACGCGGTTGAACTGATTGTTTCAATTATTGCATTAAAAGAAAATCAAGTTAGAATTGTTCAAGCTTCAATGCTTGGTTCAATCTTATCAAACTTATTATTAGTTTTGGGTTGTTGTTTCATTGCTGGTGGTTGGAATAGATTACAACAAACTTTCAACCAAACCGTTGCTCAAACTATGAGTTCATTATTGGCTTTAGCAACTGCTGGTCTTTTAATTCCAGCAGCTTTCCATGCTTCAATTCCAAAATCTGAACAATATCTAAATGATGAAAAAATCTTGGCTTTATCAAGAGGTGCTTCAATTGTTTTATTGGTTATCTACGTTTTATTTTTGGTTTTCCAATTGAAAACTCATAAACAATTATTTGAAGGCGCTATTGAAGAAGAACAATCAGATGATGTTGAAAGAGCTCAAAATCAAAATATTGCAGCTGGTAGTAAAGATGAAGAAGAATCATCATTATCAACTGTTTCTTCTTTAGTCTTGTTATTTATCCTAACTGTTGTTGTTTCTGTTTGTGCTGATTACTTGGTTGGTTCAATTGATGACATTGTTGAAACTTCAGGTCTTTCAAAAACTTTCATTGGTTTAATTGTCATTCCAATTGTTGGTAACGCTGCTGAACATGTCACTGCAGTTGTTGTTGCAGTCAAAGATAAAATGGATTTAGCCATTGGTGTTGCTGTTGGTTCTTCATTACAAATTGCATTATTTGTTACTCCATTTATGGTTTTGGTCGGTTGGGCTATTGATGTCCCAATGAGTTTATATTTCTCAACTTTTGAAACCGCTGTATTATTTATCAGTGTTTTAATTGCCAACTACTTGATTTTGGATGGTGAATCCAATTGGTTGGAAGGTGCGATGTTGATTGGTACTTATGCTATAGTCGCATTAGCATTCTTTTTCTTCCCAGATACTCAATTATAAACTTCATTTAATTGAAATATCACAAATAAAATTATCAAGTTAAAAATTAGACGAAAAGACAATATTGATAGTTATTTTTTTTATATGTATATTCATCTTATGTATCAATTAGAGTTTTGTTTTGATGTAATACCACGGAGAAGATTTTAGATAATTCAATTCTTTATTCATCATTGAGCCAAGCTGTCCATTGTATATCATATAAAAGTCGACCTATAACTTATTCCTATACAATGAAACCCCATATTCCCAATTGGGTATAAATTTCAGTTGTTTTAGAGAATTCATAAACTTTAAAAATTTAAATTTATAATCGAACCCATAAAGGTTTTACCAGTGTACAATTGTACAAGTATCCAACTGCCACATTGCAGGTTGTATATTCATCATCCAAACTTACTAGTCTATTACCTACCTTTCTTTCTTCTCAAGGAGCTTTACATTTATAAAGCCTAAAACATGGTTTATATTCAAAATACTAATACAAAATACATTCATTGATTTATATTGAGACCTTAAGCTATAAGCAATCATCGTTGATCACCAAAGCCAAAAAACTTTACTTCTGCAAGTACTATCCATTCAACACCCTCCCCTCATGACATGTCTTGATTTATACCGCTATTACAAATGTAGTACAAAGCTCTCATATGAATAACCAGATTGGGTAATAAGTTGATACAGGCCAGGTATGGAATTTACACCAATTTCAGATCACGGCCAGCTAGTTATTTATGATATGTACAATTAATAATTGATATAAATAACTGCAAATTTCCCAATAAATATTCTATATAAGATCATGATATCAGCAGGTTATTTTTTCACATTATCAAAGTCTTATTATATGTTATAATATGAGCTCACCGTTGCTGGGCTTATGTTTTAACTGTACTTGGCTTTGTAATATATTGTTGTTAACCCTGTTTTTCGTCGTCAATTGTTTGTATGTATTTTTTTCCTTGTACTACATCGATCGGTTAGAATATCATCTAGATTACAATTAAATTGTCGAAGATGATTAATATGACATCCGATCTATATACAGCTAAAGTATTTATAAATAATTTAAATTAAGTACTTCTGAACTAACTTAGCTCGTCTTGAATAGTTGTGAATTGAGAATTAATTATTGTTGATCTTTCTATGTCTAGTATTGTTTGTTTCATTTTCATGATATGTGAGTATACTTATTCAATTATATGTCATATAATTATATCTTTTTATTCACTCTTCGATCTGTTTTTGCATCATCATCAAAAGAACAATCAGTTGTTTAATAATAATTGATCACATCAATACACATACAATTGAATCATAAATGTGGATTTCTGAAATTATGGGACCCATTTTGATATCTCAATTGTGTTTCAATCTTTAATTGTCAAATATTGTGGACTTTTAAGTTGTAGCACTCGTGACTCGATATTGTAGCTAAGAAGGCATAGCGCCTATAGCTAGGAGAATAGCGGGAAAATTAAGCGTACCTGATTAATGTCTGAGGTGAACCTTTAAAAGTATTGATATTAAAGCACGCATATCCTTAAGAGCGGCACAATCGTTTAGCACAGCTTTATTTAAATAAGTTTCGCTGGTTCCTTTAGAAGTTAACTGAGACATTGTATTTGATGAATCATGTGTGATAGGTCATAAATATAAGTGAATGAAGTTTGAAACTTGTAAAGTGGACACAAGTTCGATTATAATATAATTCATGGTTCATATAGAATCATAGAATAGTAAAGTCATGGTAAGCTGTAGCACTATAGCTAGTCGTATTGACTTTACTACATGCTATAAGATGTGACATGTAGATTGAAATTTGATAGTAGTCAAGAGTCAATACCCGGACCCATAATATGGTTTGTAGCTGTAGCTTGTGTATCAGGATTCAGGTTCATCGACCTTCATGTTTATAATTTTATCAAATAAGTCCAGACCAACTTCGAGTAGCGATTTATATTAAACACATACGATGGTAGACGATAGTACCGTGTACATAGCTATCTTAACACAAACAAGGTCACTGGTAACTTGTAAATGTGACCTTCTGATATTCTAAATTGACGCGTCTCACAATGGGAGTATATATCAGATACAGTGACAGATAGTATTATTGTGCTTGATTCTGCTCCTTATACTTGTGAATTGGTGGATTTGCGAATTGCGATGATATAAAAAGTTTGTTATACGTTCAATTGAACGCGTACGGTATAAGAAACAATGAATAAACTTTTGACAGGAGTTGAGTTTTCCACAAAATGTAAACAATTGATGCACAATTTTCAATTTGATATCAGATCTTTTCGGAAATATGCAGGCTAAAGTTTGGAGTTCATGTTTAAGATTTACGAAATTGAGGCTACTTTTTTCGAAACAGAAAACTGGAAGCACAGAAACAGAAAAGGGAAAAGCTTTTATTTTGCAAACCTATTTAAAACAAATCAATTCGACTCATATATCCTCGTAGAGTTTGTTAATGAGTTGTATATTATCCTTGTAATATCATATGAAATTCAGAGACAGTCATCAAGTCTACCAGCCACGCTCTTTAAATTATCTCCGAGTTGAGTTCAGCTCATTAGTTAAATAATCATGATTTGATTAATGGAGGTTTGAGCAAACTACTTCTCAAATAGATATTTTATCATCCCTAAACAGTGCCATGCATTTCTATATTTGGATCGTCTTTACTTCTTTGTTCATGATGCCCAGCAGCTTCTTTACGCTCCAACGATGCTGTGTTCTGTGGGAAATCACAATCATCATTTGATTATGTCCGTGCTGGCAGAATAAAAATTAAAATTGAGCGTGTTTTATTAACTTCACAAGCAGATATGCTCATCAAGGTGATGCTGTGAACGATACTAATTGTTATCACTGCGGGTTGACCGTTGTCTAATATTGCCAGTAGCAAATTGTAATAGTCATTGCTACCATAGGTCTATATGAGGCCATAAACATTACCCAAAATATTAATCAGATTGAGTTTATCGTAGATTTTCGAGAGCTCAAAGTATCCAACATTACACTGAACAGTGAAGACAAAACCTCAACAGAACAACGTACCCAATTTCGCACCATTCTAGACAGCTTAAAAGTTAAGCTTACACACAGGCTCCTTCTAGCGCTCTAGCAAACTTCCCAGTGCTCCTTCTACGCTCCTTTCTGGTTCCTTTGAGCTCCTTTGCAGAACGACGCGCCGAAACTTTTTTTTTCGTGTTGCAGAAATTTCGACTCCTTTGGGAAAATTGGCGGAAGGGGACACACAACGGGCCTTGAAAAATGGCTGGAGCGTGGAAACCATTAATTTATACTTTCAAGATCCATACTTTATATAACAGAGGTATCCCCATCTCTCGAGATTATGGTTCTTGATACCACTATTTCTTGAACTCTTGATTGACATTCATTTCAACTATCATATTAGCTTTCCATTCATTTGTGCTAAGTTGTGATTCCTCATTGTTTTTTCAATTCGCACATTATTCCCAGCATTTGTTTCACATTCTCATCAGGTACATATCGAAAAAGTATCAGGTACAGATATATTTCAATCTTCATCGCGTCACAGAAAAGTTTCATATAAACAAATAAACAAATCCTCATTTTTTTTGTTTCCAAATACTTCACATTCATTACAAAATTTGGTATTCATTCATTTCAATACATTAATCACAAAGTGTTATTCATTCATTCCATTCTAATCACAGACATTTGTTCATTTCATTCCTTACACTTTACACTATAATTACCAATCCACTTTTTGTCCACATAAATACCATTCATTTCAACCAAATTGTTTTACAAAATAAAGATTTCACACTTTCATTTCATTCTATAATATAAACATTAATTAACAATTTCACACAAAATGTCAGATAAAGAAGCTCTATATCAATTCAACAAGAAACCAGTCAATTCTGAAATGGTTCAATACTTAGTTGACACAACATACTCTGTCATCAAAATCAAACCTTCAGCTTCAAATTCATATCCATCACCTCCAAGTTCACCAAATGGTCAAGATCCAGTTTCTTTATTTGAATTCATTCGTCGTCTTATAAAACATTCAAATGTTCAAACTCCAACTTTAATGTCAACTTTAGTTTATTTAACAAGACTACGAGCAGTCTTACCATCAAATGTCTATGGTATCGAAACTACTCGTCATAGAATCTTTTTGGGTTGTTTAATTCTTGCTGCCAAATCTTTGAATGACTCTTCACCAATAAATAAACATTGGACTGCATATACTGATGGATTATTATCAATTCAAGAAGTTAATACTATTGAACGTGAATTATTAGATTATTTGAATTGGGATTTAACAATCACTCAACAAGATTTATACAATTCTTTATCATTCTTTTTAATTCCAATTAAAGCTAAATTAAAGAAAATTGCTGAAAATGATTTAATAACAAGACAAAAACATTACATCACTTCAACTCCATCATCAACAAGATTAGCTTCAATGGTAGCACCAAGAGCCAAACCAGTTTCAAACTCTTCAAGTGCAAGCTCTGTCCCAAGTTTATTATCAAATTCTTCATCAAGATCAACTTTATCAAGTATTGGAACTCAACAATCTTCAAACTCTATTAATAACATGTTGAACCAATCACAACCTGTTATACTAGAACAACCAGAATATAATTATCAAACAAAACCATTAAGACAACTTACACCTTCAAAATCTTCAAATGGTGGCTATAGACCATTGAGATTAAGATCTTCAAATGATAATAATCAACAAATCTACTCAAATAATATGAATAATTCACAATCTTCAAATTTAAATTATGAAAAATCAAAAAATATGATGTTAGCTGCTGCAGGAAAGATTACAAGAGCTTTCTAACTAACTTAATTTGTTATTCTTTTTCAAGGAAAAGAATATTTACAAATGCATTTTTATGATTTTTTACGAATTTAATGATTTTACAAGATATTTATTTGGGTTATTTTTATTTTTTCTTATGGTCTTTTTTTAATTTGGTTTTCATTTCAATTTTTGGTTTTATTAAGTAATTTTTTACACGGATGTTGTTCAACTATATATAAATAAATATAAATAATAATATTAATACAGATTTAAATATAAAAACTTGTAGTAATAGATCTTTAAATATTAATTACAGAATAGAATACAAACACTGGTATGTTCATGACACTAGAATTAACAATATTTTATTTTACTATATTTAAAAACAGAGAAAGGGGTAAAAGAAATTATCAAAACATCTATGAGTATAAGTCATCTTCATCTTCAGCAGAGCCAAAGTTAGCAGCACCTGCATTTGGGTTTGCTGGTGGAATGGTTTGACCATCACCAGTTGAATCACCAAATTTGAAGTTTGTGTATTGACCTCTTGAAGCTTGTATTTGTTGAGCATAAGCTTCATAACGACGTAATTCAGCATCACTAACTGAACGTTTAGCAGTCTTCATAGCTTCTTCGAAATGTTCTCTGGTGATATATGGAACTAAATCTTCTTCTTCTTCTTCAGCTTCTTCCTTCATTTCAACATCTTCACCACCTTCAGTCTTAACTTTAGCAGCTTCTTTTTCAGCAATTGAACGTTTGTGAGCTTCAATGGAATCTTTAATAGCAAATTTAGCTGATCTTTGAACAATGTATGATAAATCAGCACCTGAGAAACCATGTGTAGTTTTAGCAATTTGTGATAAATCTAAACCTGGTTCTAATGGTGTATTTCTTAATTGAGCATTTAAGATTGATAAACGAGCTGGTTCATCTGGTAATGGAACGTAAATCAATTGATCTAAACGACCAGGTCTTAAAATAGCTGGATCAATTTGATCAGGTCTGTTAGTAGCACCAACAACGAAGACATTCTTTTTGGCATTCATACCATCCATTTCAGTCAACAATTGATTAACAACACGATCTGAAGCACCACCAGCATCACCCATTGAGTTACCTCTAGCTTTAGCAATAGAATCTAATTCATCCAAGAAAACAACTGTTGGGGCAGCAGCTCTAGCTTTATCGAAAATATCACGAATGTTTGATTCAGATTCACCAAAGTACATACTTAATAATTCTGGACCTTTAACAGAGATAAAATTGGCTGAAACTTCAGTGGCAACAGCTTTAGCTAATAAAGTTTTACCAGTACCTGGTGGACCAAAGAATAACACACCTTTTGATGGAGCCAAACCGAATTTGGTATATTGATCTGGGTGTAAGACTGGGTATTCAACAGTTTCTTTCAATTCATCTTTAACGTGGTCTAAACCACCAATATCATCCCAAGTAACATTAACATTTTCAACAACAGTTTCACGTAATGCAGATGGGTTAGAGTTACCAAGAGCAAATCTGAAATTGTCCATTGTAACACCTAATGAGTCTAAGATTTCAGCATCAATTTCTTCTTCATCTAAATCAATTAAATCCATCTTTTCACGAATTTGTTGCATAGCGGCTTCTGAACATAATGAAGCAACATCAGCACCAACGTAACCGTGTGTTTCAGCAGCAATGGTTTCTAAATCAACACCTTCTGCTAATTTCATGTTTTTAGTATGGATTCTCAAAACTTCTAATCTACCAGTGGCATCTGGAATACCAATATCAACTTCACGATCAAATCTACCGAATCTTCTTAAGGCAGGATCAATAGAGTTTGGACGATTGGTAGCGGCGATAACAACAACGTTTGATCTAGCTTTCATACCATCCATTAAAGTTAATAATTGTGAAACAACTCTTCTTTCAACTTCACCATTAGTCTTGTCTCTCTTTGGAGCAATTGAATCAATTTCATCAATGAAAATAATAGCTGGGGCATTCTTTTCAGCTTCTTCAAAAGCTTTTCTCAAGTTTGATTCTGATTCACCAGCCATTTTAGACATAACTTCTGGACCGTTAATCAAGAAGAAGAAAGCACCAGTTTCATTGGCAACAGCTCTGGCCATAAGAGTTTTACCAGTACCTGGTGGACCATACATCAAAATACCTTTTGGTGGTTTGATACCAATACTCTTGAATAATTGTGGATGTCTTAATGGTAATTCAACTAATTCTCTAATTTGAGCCATTTGTTTACGACAACCACCAATATCATCATAACCAACTTCATTAATGTTGTTTTCTTCATCTTCTCTGTTGATTGGTTCACCTTCACAGTGAATGATTGTATCTTGAGCGACAATAGCTGATTCAGATGGTTCGACTTCAACAACTTTGAATTCAACTTGTCTCATACCACCACGAACAACGAAATGGTCACCTTTTCTAACAGGTCTATAAGCTTCAACAAAGTATGGTTTTAAGTAAACTTCAAATAATGAACCAGTTAAACCTTCAACGGTATCGGCAATTGGTAAGACTGAAATTCTTGAAGCATATTTAATATCTGGTAATGGGTGAACAGTAACAATATCACCTAATCTAACTCTCAAGTTATTACGAACAACACGGTTAATACGAACAGCACCATCATCAATATCATCATCTAAAAGAACAATTAAAACGGTATCTTTTCTCTTTTTACCTTTAACTAAGACGGTATCACCTCTAAATAATTGTAATTTATCCATGGTGTTTGAAGTCATTGCGATAACAGAGTTATCATCATTGACAGCATCATCAACTAATAAAGCTAGTATAGGAAGTTAGTATATGCTCCATTGAGTTCAATTGATATCATTTTTACTTCAAAATGACCTGGAAAATACATACCATTATCCTTCTTCTTCTTTCTTAAGATAGCGGTGGCGGTTTGATCTTCTTTGGATTGATCAGCTCCTGAAGCGTCTAATAAAGGTTTCTTTTCGTCAACCATTTTTAATCAATTGTAACTAATCCCTGAAGAGAGTCTTTATGAACTAATTGAATTGAATTGATAGTCAAGTTAACTTGGTTCAAATGTTGTTAGAGAAGAAGTTTGAAGAACACAAGTGTGTTGAATTTTGATTTGAATTCGGTGGCGACAGATCGCGAACATGTTTTGTGGGATTTCCGGTAGGAGCAGACGGGAAATAGACTTTTAACAGCATATCGATCTCTACAAGAATATTTTGTAATTAGATTAAAGCCAAATTATGAACCAGCTGTTTTGTATTTAGAATATGTAAGGAAATCGGATTAAATCTCACTGAAATCCTCCCTTATCACTTTTTGATCTCATTAATTCGTAGTAGCTTTTTTTTTGAAGCATCATTTGTATTTTTGTGTATTGAAGACTCACTATTATCAGCAATCAATCAGAAGTTATATTATTATAATCCAACCAAGCTTACAATTTGTCTGAACCCAACAGCAGTGGCCATTCTTAGACCTTGAGCACCAAATGGGAAATAACTGACAGTATAATAAATCACTGCAAAGATCTCAACTAAACTTGAAAGCAATGTCAAAATTGTAGATTTCATGATTGCACTAAAGTATATAGTGGCAAACACTGAACCAAAGAAAAATACAGTGAATGGTAATCTTGATGCTGAAGTTAAATGATGGAAATAAGCAACTGGTCCTTGTAATAAACCAAATGAAATAACAAACAAGATCGAACCCAATGACCATAATAAACCGAACTTTCTAGGGTTTAATGCCAATACAGGGAAAAGAAAGAATGAAATGGTGAAACAAGCAGCAGAACCTAGTAGACATGCAATAAAACCCATCAATCTTTCAAATCTTGATAATGTGAACCATTCTGGTTCCTGGTTGTTGATGTCTTGCGCATCGTTTTGTGTCAATGGTAATCTATTATAAACGTCATTAGCTGTGTTATTCAATGTCTCTGCCCAACCTGAAAACAAGGTCTTTGCACTCTCATTCACAGCACCACCTGAGCTGGTATTATGTGTAGCTGTCCATCTATCCCATTGTGATCTCAACGACCCTTCTCCAGTATCAGCCATTGTATCTCTTATTTTCACCCTTTTCAAAAGTTATCGACTGTTGTTTTTGATGGTTTTGATAAAACTCTCGCTATTGTTTTCTGAAAAATGGAAAAGCTGGCAGCTTTGCAGAAAAGTCCATAAATCCTAATACAGATGCACTTTCATTTCCTAATTGGGAAGTCGAGAATATTTCCGACTCAATTTCACGTGCTTTTTTGGACACCTCGAAAATCGATTTCTTGACAATAACAACCAGTTCATCAAAATAAAATTGAGAAGTGAGAAGGACTTGAAAGTTTCAAACGGAAGTTATAAGAAGCAAAACGCAACAAATCAATAGAAAGGCTCTTAGAAGGACCTGATAATATTCATAAAGGAATTTATAGAGCACCCATCACACAATGGCCGATGAGTTCTTGGATTTCAACAATGGGAAGATACATCTGGATGATTTCCCCTTCAACCTCAACAATAACGATGTATCATCCACAATTCCAGAAAACGAATTATTGGATTTTTCAACAAGTAATCCAAACAATAACAATATCAACAACTCAAGACCTACACATTCTATCTCTCATCTGAATCCAAATCAAATTAGTCAACAAAATTCAAGTCAAGGACATGGTTTTGATGATTCATATAATAACAATAACAATAGTTACCTTTCCCCAATAGCTTCACCATATACAAATCCAAACCAGTTATCTTCATCATTTGTCTCATCAAGAAAAAACTCAATATATGATACTTTAGAATCAGTTGCATCTCCACAACAAAGCAATTCACAACAATATTCTTTAAATGCACAATATTTCTCACCTGCCCAAAAACCAATATCATTCAATAATCAAGGGAATAGTTATAACCAAGCGCGCAACATCCCTGATATATCATCAATCAATAGTCCAGGATCATATAATGATCAATTAAGTCCATACCCTTCTTCATTTGAAACTTTTAAATCACCAAGTATACGTTCTCAAGGATTATCACCAGCCACTGGAAGTTCATTACCAAAATCACAATTAACCAAAGAAGACAAACTGAAAAGAAGACGTGAGTTTCATAATCAAGTGGAAAGAAGAAGAAGAGATTTGATTAAAGAAAGAATAAAAGAATTAGGAGTTATAGTTCCACCATCATTATTATTAGTTGATTCCGATGGTAAAGAAATCAAACCAAGTAAATCTGTTATTATCAATAAAACGGTGGAATACGTTGAACATTTACACAAAGTTATGAAGTATCAAGAAGAAAGATTGGATGATTTATTGAAAAAAATCAATGAATTTGAACAATTACCAGATCAAAACCCAGATCAAAATCCAGTTCCACAACAACAACAACATCAACAAGAAAATCTCCATAACTTTGAGGCTCAGCGATCATCTGAGCTTTCAAATAGTGACTCCTATCAAAACTCACCAGCTAATTATAACGAACATGCTCCACAATTTTCTGAAAAAGATTTGGATTTCGATGTTAATGAATTTTTGAGAGAACATAAAGGCGACGCAAACTGGGATGATTTGAACAACATATAAGTTGCTGTGCGACTTAAACAAACTTTTTCAATTCTTTATGTAACACTTTATGACGATTTGAATGATAATTTAGATTTTAATCACTATTCAAGATTGATTTTTGTAGATATTTAGTATATATTCAATATATTTATAGCACTTATACATTTTGACCGTGCAACACCGTACTTTTTTTCTTTGGGAAGTCGCGTCTAAATTTTGGAAAAAGAGTTATTGTTACACCAAAAATTCAAAATAAGGTCAAGTGATTATTAAAGAGTCAAAGACAAAAACCTTCAAAGCGCCTGGTTTAAATCACCAATGAGCAGCTCTAATATCAACCGCCGAAAGGCCAATGCCAGGTCTGCGCTGCTGAATCGAAGAAAACAAAGAGCTGGCTCAGTACCATCAGCTGTGATACCAAAACAACAACAAAACTATACGATTCCACAACATGATCCATCAAAACCTAGAGAAGAGCGTCATTTCAAAGATTTCTATAAAGACTTAGAGGAAGATGAGCAATTGCCTCTCTTGATTACTGATGAACATATATCAGGTCCAATTAGATCCACAACTTATAAAATTCAAGGTTTAAAGAACCCAGAATTCAAGCAGATACCCAAAGAAATATTACCAAATGATATAAGTAAGATTCCTAAAAACATTATAAAGCTGGGTTATAAAGAGCATTCATTGCTACATGATCGTGATACTTATATTAGAGAACACGATTATTTCGCTAAAAGGGAACAAAACAACCAGTTCTTTGAATCAATCTCTCAAAATCAAATCAATTTCAAATCTACTTATGATATGGATGAACAAGATAATTATTTCTTATCATATTTAAACTCATCAAGAATTGATAAATTCAAACCAATACTACATGAAATTTTTGAAATTGTTATAACGATACTAGAAAATGAATGGTATTATCTTGAAAAGAAGATTCCACCAAAAATACGGAAAACGTATTCATCAAATTCAGAATTAAGTTTAAAGACAAGCGCTGCTATTAATCATACAAAGTTATATGGTGCGGATGATGGTATTGGGTTTTCTCCTGCAGAAGACCAACGTTGTGCAGTGTGTAATGAATCTGAATGTGATAATTCAAATGCAATTATTTTTTGTGATGGTTGTGATATTGCAGTTCATCAAGATTGTTATGGAGTTATCTTCATTCCTGAAGGTCAATGGCTATGTCGTCGTTGTATGATTTCTAAAAAAAGGAAAACAAGATGTTTATTTTGTCCAAGTACAACAGGTGCTTTCAAACAAACTGATAATGGTCTTTGGAGTCACGTATTATGTGCATTATGGATTCCTGAACTTTATTTTGCAAGTGCAGGTCACATGGAGCCCGTCGAAGGTTTTGACGCTATACCCAAAGGTAGATGGAAGTTGAATTGTTATATATGTAAACAAAAAATGGGTGCTTGTATCCAATGTGCAAATAGAAATTGCTTCACAGCTTTCCATCCAACTTGTGCAAGAAGAGCTGGTCTCTTCATGGAAATGAAGAAAGGGGTACAAGGTGCAGTTTTGGATAAATCTACTATGCATTCATATTGCCATAAGCATTCACCACAAGGTTTTAATGAAGAAAATGACGTTAAAACTGGTATTGAAAAGACTAGATTATATTTTGAAACAATCAATCAAAATCAAGCAACAGCAACAGCAACAGTTAAGATTGATAATAATAAGAAGACCAATAATAATTTGAAAAAATGGAAAACTTCAAGAGGAACTCCAATTCCACCAAATTATTTTATCAAAATTGTAAGTTCATTCTTGACTAAATTGAAAGTTCAAGATGAAGATAATATTGCTCAACAATTGGTTAAGTATTGGTGTATGAAAAGAGAAATGAAAAGAGGTGCTCCATTAATTAGAAGAACTGATCCAACAAGTTATACAAGTGGGGATCCTGAAGAACTAACCCCAAAATTGGATTTTTGTCAAACTTTATTGAAAGATATTGATAATTTACAAGAATTATCTACTTTAATCGAGTCAAGAGAAGCTGCAAAAGTTGAACAACATAATTCATTACAGGATATGTTGGGATTAGCATATTTTCCACATAATGCATTGATTCAACAATTATTGACTAAGATTAATCAAATCGATTCTTCAAGGTTTCTATTGGATCTGGAAATTGATTGCTTTAATTTATCTCAAATAAATGAAAAAAGCTCAACTAGACATTATCAATCACTAGAAGAATTTCTTAAAGATCTTAGTGACTTGTTCTCCCAAATTGAGGAATTGAACACACCAGTTCTTTTAAAAGCTATACGTCGTATTTCGAGAGATATTGAACCTGATTTGAAATCATTAGAAAGTTTTGACCATTCAAAACTTCAATCAGAATTTATATTGAAAGGTCTTGAAATTGACGAGGCGCCTTATAAAGGCCTAACAGCCATGGAAGAGGAAGATCTTAGTGATATAGACGTTGAAATGGAAGAGTAATTAATTCTCAAAGGTCATAAGCATTTAATTTATATACATGTATTTATATAGACAATTTTTATCATGTCAAAAGGACTATTTCTCAATTAACAATACAATAATGAACGATGTTATGTACAAATGATGTAGTCATTGAATTTGGCGTTAAAGTTAAATCATTTTTGAGATGCGCTCCAGTCTTGGAATTGATTTGCTAGACGAGAAGAAACACAAACATCATTCAAAATTCCTGTACTTCTATTCTGAACAATATCTTCGATTAATTTTTCATTCTTAACCCAATTTTGCAGTTGTCTTAACTGGTTGTATTTTGAATTCTTTAATTCTTGGAAATCAGCAGCTGCATAAGGATCTATTCTTGGATCAATATCCTTACCTTGTAATTCCGCCTCTTGATGTGATTCAATTTCCCTTTCTAGTTCAACACTTTGTCCATTACAATACTCAATAGCACTTAATCTATCCTTCCAGCTCTTATACATGATACCATGTGTAAATTCTTCACAAAGTTCTTCTTTTGGTCTTTTGCCACTGTTCAACAATGAATTCAACCGTTGTTTTACAACATCATCTGTGTTTGCTCTTGATAATTGTAAAAATGATCGTAGACCCTTTGGATTCAAACACACGTCTCTTGATAATTCTGGTAAAATCGGAGCCTGGGGAAATCCATCAGCATCTTTTGCGTTCCATAAACTCATTTTGTCGTAAAGTGTGTCAAATTTCTTTTATGTGAGTATTATGTTAATCCACTTTAAAATCTAGATGAATCTTTATAGTATTTTGTTCTCTCCGGTTTTAAAAATTGTCAAAAAATCGAAAATATTAAATTTTGTGCTACGTCAAAGCTGTTCAGAAACACAATCGTATCACAACGCAACACAAACCAGCTCAAAATATTCATTAGTGATGTCTGTTGTTGAGCTTAGTCCATTGGACTTTATTTTAAAAACTGGTGATGAAAAGAAGGCGTTATTGTTGGGGATTGCCGCTTATCTCAAGAAGTTGAATGCGTTTGCCTCCGTCAAAAAGACTCCAAATCTCACTGAATACAATGTTGGTGGTGTCATCTCAATTGTGGAACAATTAGAAACTTTGGCTAAAACTTACAAGACTGCTGATGGTGAGGTTAACTCTTACTTGCAAGAAGAAGATTATTTCAAGTTTTTGGTGGAAAGTTGGTTCTGTTATGAGGATTGCAAAGTTAATAATACAGCAGCTAAACTGAAGAACTATTTCAATCAAGAATATGACCAATCAGGAACATTGGCCTCTACTATAGGGAAATTCATTTTATCTCTAGAGCCAGCAATTAACAAGATCAAGTATGAAATGTTCAAGGTCTCCCACAAGTTATTAACTCGTTATTCAGATTACATAGTTAACGGTGCTTCACAAGAATCCGAAGGAACCCAAACACCGGATATCAGCACAGAAATTACAAGTAACGAAGTAGAAGATATTCAAGGTTTATTGAGATCGTTCAAGACCATCTTCAAGCTACAAAAAATCACCAAACTTAAAGCTGCTCAAAGATCTATTGAACTTAGAAAGACTGGTAATGAATTTTACAAATCAAATTCTTCTCATGCTGCTGTTGCCAAATATTCAGAAGCATTGGCTTATGACCCTCAAAATGTTGCCCTTTTGTCAAATAGAGCTGCTATTTACCAACTTGCCAAACATCCTGACAATGCCATTGAAGACTTAAAGAGAGCTATAGAGATTGATCCATCTTATGAAGCTGCTTGGACAAGATTGGGATTTGCTTACTTAACTATTGGTGAATCACTAAAGTCAATCGAAGCATATTGTAAAGCTATCAAGTTAGCTAGTGATAATAAAAGGGTTGACACATACATCAAGAGACTTGTTCATGCCTTGGAAAATGCTGAAAACAGAGCCAAATCAAGTGGTATTTCAGCCGCTGATTATTCCCAATACACTGATCCAATCCAAGTGATTATACGCAATAATCCAGGTAGCCGTCCAGCTACAAGAGGTCCTCAGTCATTTATAAGCCCACAAGTTACAGGCCAAAGTGCTTCCAGACCAAGAAGTGGTGACACTTACACCAACAACATCAACAGTAATGGGCAAAATGGACCGCCACAATTCCGTGGGATGCCTGGGAACAGAAACAATGGTCAACAAAATCATGATGGATCCAGAACACCATCAAATCTCGTTAATACTTTAAATACCTTAGGAAACACAATTTTAAATAGTGAAGCCATTGGAGACTTCATATCAAATATGCAAATGGAAAATAACAATAATGCTAGTGGTAATAGAACCACATCTAATAACGATACAACAAATGGCCAAGCACCACCAGCACAAGATGGCTTTCAAAATTCGAATGATTCAGCGGATAGAGGTAACCGAGAGCAAAATGGACCACAGAACCGAACTCAGAATGCTACTCATACACATGGAGTTCCTCAGCACATCCAGGAAGCCATAATGGGTGCTTTACCACAAGGTTTACAAGGATCTTTAGGAAGTATGCTAAGCTCAGTCATTAATGGGGGAACAATAGTAGATCAAAGCACAGTTGTTCTGACATTGGATCAAGATGGAAATCCAGTGTTTTCAAGTGAAACTGCAAATGGTAACACTGGAAACGGTTCTACAGGTGGAAATAACACCAATAGAAACAATAATGTTGATGATGACTCTGATGATGATTTAGATCCAGCTGATTTTGATCTTGATTAAACTAACAAATGATTTGGAAGATTTTATGATGGGTATTATATAGCTCTCATGAATCATTATTTTCGATAGCGTTTATTTCAAAACAAATTTGTAGCTTTATTACGAAGAATCCCAGAACACCCATAGTTCAAGAATATTCATGAGTAAACTATACTACATATCAGTACTTTAAATGAGTAATAGAACATAAATATATATTTGGGTAACAAGGAAAGTGACAATATAATGAAATTTTCAAGATTCAGCACTTAAAACCCAAATTTTGATTTCAATAATGACTTCATTAAATCATTTTTAGCCTCACCAACAGTCTCATTCATATTCTGAGAGGCATTATTAGCGTAGTCATTGAAAGTTTCACCAGCGCTTTCAAACCCATTTTGGAAAGTTCTGACAAATGACCTTGAAGGATCATAACCACCTTGTGTTCTCTTTCTAACAGGTTTATCATATGAGTAATCTTCACCCGACAGTTGATCAGTACTGCTATTTTGAGATCCTCTAGCTGGTGCCAGTGTCAAATTACCACCCGCAATACTAGATTCTGGGTTTTTAGGTGCAGGTCTTCTGTCACCTCCTATAAGTACATCAAGTTCATCATAGTTCACCAAAGTTGTGCCTTTAGCCCATTGTAATGCACCAACTTGTGGACGATATGGAATTCTTAATTTTTCATTATAGAGTTTATCAGAAGGTAATTGAGCAGCTGTTATACCAGATCCTGCAATATTAACTAAACTTGCTTCTGAAACACCAGTACGAATTACTGCGTCACCTGAAGGTAGCACTGAGCTATATGACACAAACTTAGGATCAATAACGGCTGGGACCTGTAAAGTAGTGATTTCTCTTAATTCTGGTAAAGACAAAACTTTTATAGCACCTGTTTGGAGAACAATTTGTAATACTGATCCATATGGTTTTGAAGCATTTGCCTGTTTGATAGCAATAACTGATACACCAGCTGATGCAATTGGTATATTGAACAATTTATGTGTTTGTCTAGATTTTGCTGGTTGTACAATTCTAATATCTGAAGTTGATGTTACCGCAAGAGACCCATGTACTATTAGACCATTGGCCAATTGGTGAAACTGGTCAAATGTTGCAAAGGCTGGAGTACCATTATCTGATTTATAAGGCGAGATGTGTGTAATTGGATAATTGTTAGATTGAATAATATCAGCAGCTTGTGCTGAAAATCTACCAGATGATTCAGGTAATATTTTGTAAGTAATTAGTTCACCTTTCTCGGTACCAGCAAACAGCAATATACTTGAATAACCATCATCACCAAAAACCATGATCGAGAACTCCAATGAGGTTATTCTTGAACTCCCTGATTGAGAGTATTGACGTATATCTCCTTCAAAGATAACTGCAGGTCCTCTTCTGTCAATTATGATTAAATCACCGGATTCATATGCCATAGCGACAAACCCAATATTACTGTTTTTCAAAGCTGTGACTTTACCTCTTTTAGCATGAACAGCAACAACCGGCAAAAAGCCTTCCTTTATATTTGGAGTTCTATGAGAAAGATTGATGATGAGTTTGTTTTCATCAGCTAATGACATTCTTTGCATCCCTTGCTCCAAACTTCCAATTTTTGGATTATATTTCTTATTAATGTCAAATTTATATAATACAACATCACCTCCAATAGTTGCAACCGCCAATTCAGCAGTTTCACCAGCAAACGATATAGCATCAATAGCAACATCTGTAATAGTATTCAAGGAAGCAGCAACATCAACTTCCATAACTGAAGAATCATCAAGTTCAGCATGGGATGCATCCCAAATCCTTACGGAACCGTTAACATGACCAGTAGCCAATGCAGATCTAACTTCATTTGCCCTTAATGCTTTTTTCACTGGATAACCACCCTTTAAAATGTTATCTTTCTTAGTAGATTTACCAATCATTCCAAGCCACTGCTTTCTAGGAACCGGAGAAGCGATAGTAACAGTTGTTTGAGGATGAACCCAGGCAATGCTTTGCGGAAATAGCGATGATTTGTAGTTCAAAATGCCTTGAGGATATGCCAATGTTTCTATTTCCCCTGACTCTAGTAAGACCATGATGAAATTTGGGTTATGATTGCCTTGGAAATATGGTGAAGTTTGAGCTAAAGATATGAAATCTATCACAGAGGACGAATTTTGAATTGGCAAAAACCTTTGTTGTTTTGGCTCAGCATAATAGCTTCCCATTTTTTCATATGATGTTATTGAGTACTTTGGCGCAACACCATAGTTTATGACGCTTAAGTTGTGAATACCATCATGAGCAGGACCATCACCCCCAGCAATCAACAAAGCAGTTGAATCTGGATTTTCATCACATAACCAGGCAACTTTCAAAAATTCAGTATTTACAGAGCCTTCACGATGAACATTAGCCCCTTGTGGTACGTTGACATCTATATCAATTAATGATCTTGCATGTAGCTGTTCACTGGTCAAAGCATCCCAGAAAACCAACGACCCATCTTCATGTGTTGTTAAAATATTTAAAGAGTTTGGATGGTATAATGCTTGTAGAACCTTTGGATACCTAATAGTAGAAGTTACCAGGTTGTTACCACCTGGAGCACCTTTTGGAACTTCGTACCTAAAGCTTAAACGAACTTCAGCGGATGCAATGGAGTAGATAATTGCACAATGTGAATAACCAACTAATATAGTACCAATATCTCTTGGATTCCATTGAATTGAAATCACAGGCGACAGTTTTTCCTTTGGTAGAACCTGTTTTTGCAAATTATCAATTTTGAAGGGCGTAATATTACCTCTATCTATGTCATATGCGACTATTGAACCATTTTGTAGACCGATCAATAGCCAATCCAGTGAGGGATCTGTTTCAAAGGCAGTGACTTTACCTGGCGGCGAGAATGAAGATAATAGCTTTTTGGAATATATTGAGAAAACAAGCACAGTACCCCTGTCATCAAGTGCAACAAGATATATACCTTTGACAAATCTCAATGTAGTTATTGATACTGAATTGTTTAATAGAAAGACCACTTCAACTTGTTGTTGACCATAAACATGAATTTCACCACGATCCGTAGAAATCGCTAAAAGACTCTGAACAGGATCGAGTGCAACACCAACAGGCTTACCAGACATACCATATCTACTCAGCTATTGTTTAAAGTAGTTAGTCACTGTCAATAATGAAACGATAGTGTTATTTTAGCACTCACATCATCTAAAGCAAACGCTTTGGAATTCAAACCAGAAGAAAGATCATTCGTTCCAACGGTTTTGATAGCGTTTGTAACGTTCTTTAATCTTCTGCTTTTAAACATGTTCTGCTATTTATAGATCAGAATCACCTAGTTGATATATCCTAGCAGAGCTTGAACAATAGTTGTTTTGTTGTTCACTAGGAAGTGCTGAAATGTGCCAATTCTTTTTTTAACGATCAGGCTTCCTATGTTTTTGTTTAAGGGGCCACATTAATAACACTACGAAACGTAAACACGAATTGAAGCTTGTAAAATTAATATCTAAACGCTTTAATTGAAACTCGAAAACCAAAAATCTTGACACTGGATTACCAATGACTTCTATATATAGTGTACATATTATGAAAACACAAACAAACAAAATAAAACCATTTTTTTTTTAATAAATCGTCCATCATCTCATTTAACTCATTTTGGTACTAATCCTGAAGCATCTGAAACATATGAGAAACCACGGAATTGTGCTTGAGTAGAACTATCTAAAACAGAGTTAACTGGTGTCAACCTTGGAACTTCAGTTGTAAAATCTTTATCAAAAAATGAAACATCATCTTCAGCTTTAACTTCTGGGACGTAAGGTGGTGGAACCCTTAAATGTAAAATATCATCAAAATTGATGTTACGGAAGTAAGCATGCTCTTTAATTTCTTGAGCTTCTGTTGGACCAGAACCTAAACGTTTAACGGGATCCTTATTTAACAATGACTCTAACAAACCAACAGCCTCACTAGCCATTTGGATTGGGAATAATGGTTCATCTGTCAAAATGGCATTGAAAACTTCATCTTCATCTTCACCTCTGAATGGTGATTTACCTAACAGCATCTGATACAGTAAGACACCAAAAGCCCACCAATCAACTGCTCTAGTGTAGTGTTGTTCTCTTAGAATTTCTGGTGCCATAAATTCTGGAGTACCACAAAATGTGTTGGTAGTTTTACCATATCCCATATCATGTTTACATAAACCATAATCTGCAATCTTGATATGACCATCTGTACTCAACATAATGTTATCTAATTTCAAATCACGATAAATAATGTCATATTTGTGCAAATGTTCTAAAGCCAATAAGACCTCCGCAGCATAAAATTTAGCTCTTCTTTGTGAAAATGTAGCTTGTTGAACATGCCACATTAAATCACCACCTGGAACGTATTCCATAACAAAATATATACGATTGGCAGTTTGGAAACAACAATGTAAATTGATCAAAAATGGGTGTTGTTCTTGATTTGCAACCAAAAAAACTTCCTTTTCAGCATTCATTGATGCAATTTCCCCATTTTCAATAATCATATCTTTCTTCAAAACTTTAACAGCACATAAATTCTTATTACGATAAGATCTGGCGAGCATAACTTTACCAAAATTACCCCTACCCAAAACTGCAAGGAAATTAAAATCATCAAGACCCACTTTTTGACGATGACGTTTATCTTTCTGAGACAGTGACTGACTTTTGTCAGTTCTAGGTGTACTGTCATGTGTATCAACTGTTGCAAGACCGTCATGACTTCTATCAGATTCCAGAGATTGTCTTGGATCTAACTTAGCTGAAATCTGTGAATGCAACGATTGTCTATTTGAATGATCAGCAACATCTTTTCTATTATAAAGATCTTGTTGTTGACGCAAGCTTTGTTCTTCTTGAATTTGACGTCTTCTCTCTTCTAACTGTTGTTGTTGTTCAATGTATAGCTGTTGCTCTTGATAATATCTTTGTTCTTCAACTTGTCTTCTTTGTTCTTCATGAGCTTCAGCTTCTTTTTGAAGTTGCAGGTTTAGTTGATGTTGTTGTTGCAGTTGTTGTTGAATCTTCTGATCTTCTTCATCAGCTAAAGATGCTTGTTCTTGAGCAGAAGGCTGTCTGCTATAATGACCATCAGCAGGTGGAGGTGGACGTCTTTGACGTTGTGGTGATAGCACTGCTTGCTCTTGCTTTTGATTCAGTGATTGTGTTGGTAGTTCATTATCGATATCATATTCAGGTGTAACTTGTGAACTGACACTTGGTGGTAATGATGGTAATTTAACTTTTCCTTCTTGTGGTGGTTGAATGTATGATGGTTGTACTGATGTCGGGGTTGGTCTCTCATTCAGAGTGTGAACAGTAGTTGATGTAGTTGAGCGAGCACTTGAAAGACTTGCAGTTGGTTGCTTCTTTCTAATACCCTCTGTAGATTTGATGGTACTTAAAATTTTATTAGCAGTTTCCATAGACATACCACAAAAGTCTGGAACTAAATGAGAGCATGATGTATGGCACATGATATCACATTCACAACATTTAAGAACATTTTTTCTACCCCATGGCAAAAGATTACCACAATGACAACACCAGTTGGTACCACGATTGGAAACATGTTCAAATCTATGTGGAATACGATGATTCAACTTCAGTTCATCTGGATCAATATCCGTGCTTGATTTGGATATACATTTGGTAATGACTTTTTGATAACATTTCTTGTGACATAAAAATTTACAATCTTGACATTGATAACCATTATAAGGCAAAAATTCAGCACACAAAGCACAGCGCATAATAGAATAAAATTGTTTTTGAACAAATTGATGACCATGTTGTTCATAAACTTCTTCATCCCTCTTTCTAATAGCACCATGACGATGTAAACCACCCAGTAATGTTTTTTTGTTTGGAGTTGTTGATTTGCTAAAACCTATTGTTAACAGAATTTGCCCAGATGGTTCAAGAATATACCAAGAGCTACTTCTAATTGGTTCTTTTGAATCCCCATTACTAGTGTTTTCTCTCTCATTCAAAGTGAAATTATCATTATTTACATTTGGATTTTGTATTTTTCTGCCGTTTTGAATTCTTGCAGCACTAACCCAACCTACTCCAGATTGGCCAACCTTCTTTTTACGAATTTCTTCTGCAATATCAGACACTAAGAACCAAGCCATGGCGACTGGTACATGTTGGTTACCTATTTTATCATAAACAGTTATTTCAACTTCATTACCCTTGTCCACATGTATATTGAATTCTTCACTCCATCTGTCGTTACGACTTCCTTTAGTTTTGGCTTTTTCATCATCATCAACTTTGATTGAAATATATGATTCGGTCTTTCTTGAAAACATTGGTGATGCAATGTGGTCAACATCTCTAATAGAGCTAATTCCAATAGTTAAAGTACCACCTAAAGGTTTTCTTCTAAATTTCACATTATTCATAGGGTCAGTTTCTTCATTCAGTTGATCCAAATTCACATGTATATCTTCATAACGTTTCAACGATTTTTTCAATAATTGAATTTTGTGATTACTTTGAACTCTTCCATCTTCTGCAACAGAACTAATTCTGCGATCACCATCAAGTTGATAAATTTTTGATAATTTTTCATTAGCTTCATAATATTTTTGTTCAACTTTTAGTTTTGTGTTAAGTTGATTGATCATATACTGGATACGTTGACCTAAAGATGGACAATCATATTTAATTAAATCTAAACGTGAATAATTACCAGCATCTGTAGTTTTCTTCACCCCATTATTACCACTTTGATCATTCAGGGTTTGTTCATCTGACGTATTTTGACCAATAGAATGTTCAGAATGTTCATCCTGGAATTTCAATTGATTTAAAGTTTCATTCAAATAATCAATGTTTTGTTGAGCTTCTTGAATATTGGTATTACATTTTTGAATCACAGCCGCATTAGATGTCTTTTTCTTCAAATTTGAGGCACCAGTGATGATGTTTCTTTCTCTAAGAATCTTCTTCTTGATCTCTTCAGCAACAGAGTCTGACATTGTTTTATTGAGTTCCAGATCAAATTTACTGTGTTGCTTCTGTTAAATAATATATTGTAGAAAAAAAAGTAGTACGAAAACGAATTTGACAGCGTTCGCTCTGATTTGAAACACGATATAACAAAATGAATGTGAAAATCTTACTTGAAAGTTGAATGTGAGTGTTTTCTGAATTGAATTCTGTACTCTGATATTCAATAACTCCAATGTGATTCACCAATTATCTCACTCTTATTTCAAAATCTTTTGTTGAGTTTTGATTCAGGAATACCAATAAAAAGTTCCTTTTTGGTGGAAGGAGATCTCAATTTGTAGGGTCAAAAAGAAATGAAATTGTAAGCAAAGTGTCTTCAGGCTCTCCTCTACCAAACCGATGCACTGATCTTCCAAAAAAGGTGATTTCTTATATCTTCTTTTCCAGTTGCACGCTATCTTATGGAAGCCGCTGTTGTTTTGCGTTGGTATTGGGAAATGTAGCTGATTGTGTTTTTGATCCACCGATAAATGTAAACAAAAAGATCAAATTCAACTTTTTTCGTCAAAATCACGATTCAGCAAAAAAACTGCAAACAAAAAATGGCTGAGATTTCGCGGAAAAGGTCATGTGACTAGTATAGTTGGTACTGGGCAGAATGTGAAGTTTTCAATATAAGCCGTCCTACATATAACATGAAATATTGGTTAACTTCAAATGCTTTATGTGTCTATTTATTATTACACTGACAAGAGCAACCTGGAACTGGACAAGTATTATTCTTACTGAACCATTCTTCTGCATGCCCAGCGTGCATACCATGATTACATGTCAAACAGAAACTTGGCCACTCCTTGAACTCTTTCACTTTAGCTTCATTCAACGCTGTAGTAATATTCTGTGGTAACGATTTTCCCAATGATAATAAACAAATAGCACATCTTGGAAGTGCAGCTCCACAATGTGGACAAACACTTAATGACTTTTTGATATTTTTATTATTATTGAATTGTCTTTTTGATGGTTTAACTGATTTGGAGATGTTTTTATTACATCTAATACATTGTAAATGTACTTGTGATGATGATATCTTCAATTGTTTTTGGCCATTATTATTCGCTGATAACTTAGCTCTAGCAACATCAAATTTAGCTCTTGTACTAAACATACCCCAGCTGTTGAGTAGAGATCTATAACAATATAACCAATGCTCAGCCCTTTCATCTGTGAAATATCTCGGACAGCCAAAACTTGTTATTAGAGCAGCTGTCTGAACATCACTTGTTCGATCAACATATGATTGTATTAAGTCAATACCACGGGGTGTTATACCTGTTAGAATCAAACCTTCTAGTTCACCTTTAGAGATGTATTTTTGTGCGACTTTTGTCAAATATAAAGTCAAATCTTTATCAGGTAAACATCTTAACGCAACACCAAGTCTCTCTCTTAAAGGCAACAAGCTTTCATCTAAAACGTCCCACCAGTCGTTATCTGCGATATATGCAAATATAGCCCTTAAATAAGGATCATCCAATTCTGAAGCCATATTTCGACATTGATCTTTCCATAATGTATTCTTTGTTGATTTTTGCTGTACTAAATAACCAGAAATGGCAGTTGCAATCAATTTCAATTTCCCGCTTTTTGAAGATGCCAATATAGTTACAGCTTTAGATACATCACCTGTGAAGACAGCCCAGGCAGCAGCTTTTGAATACTGACCCGCTTTTGATAATCTTGCAAAAATTTGTTCTAATTCATCAGGACTAAAATACCAGCCAGCAACAATGAGACATAATCTTCTTTGTGGTTCTTTAGTACTCTTTACTATAGGTAAAGTCTTAGAGCCCCTATTTGCTAAGATTTGGGTAATTCTCTGTTTCAAAACATCTTCTTTAAGGACAGCATCACTATATCTATTTTGTTTTTGTATGCCCTCAATACCTTTCCAAATACCAAGTATCCCTTCATACGAAAGATCTAAGTCACCAGATGTCATGAGTCCAGTTTGTGCAGAGGTTTTCGTAATATCAAGCCATTTCCAGGTACTTCTCAAATATAATGTATTATCAATGGTTTTCAAGTTCTGAATGATTTCAATATTTTTCAAACAATCAACACCATACCCCAGAAATGCGCGTCTTCTCATCCTTACACTTATGTCATTTTCAAGAACTTCTTGTGGTGTAAAGAACTGATTCATTTCAACATCATTACCTTCATCATCATCATCTTCCTCATCCTCATTTGAGATACCGTTCTCGTAATCATCAGTAGTACTAACTTGATCATTTTCTGATTCTTCTGCAATATTTGATGGCTTGGTAAGTTTGATTTTTTCCATATCAGTAATGACACCACCAACATCAACATCTTCCAAAAAAGTACCATCAGAGCCAGAGAAAAGTAAATCATTGAATGAGTTAAATTTCACAGATTTTTGACTTTCAACAACCGGCATTTTGAACACAGATCCAGATTGTCTCATACATACAAGACTTATTGAATTTGAATTATCATCATGACTATAATCAAATGATATGACACGATCATATTTTGTCTTGACATCCTGAACACTGGCTACAAAAACTGAATCATACTTAGTGGATGGAGCAGTTCCTGTTTGCCATCTCCGTATCAATTCACCAGCATGTGATGTAGCAAATTCACCTCTTCGACTAGTTGAATATCTGAAACATGAATTGTTATTTCTTCTGGTAGTATCACCTAGTAATTTATTGAATATTAAAGCAGGTTCAGTACTATTATTACCTAATTTTCTTCTATCATAAATAGCTAAGGTACCATCTTCAGCAAATGCACTAAATAAATAATGGTTATAAGGATCTTGTGTTATACCATTTGTAGCTTTGGATGACATTTGGAAAATTGGAGATGAAACACGGATATCAATATCTCTTAAGGTCTTTGTACCACCAACAAGTAGATTGGTTTCATTATAAAAAATCGTTGAAGTGATAGACTCATTATTGACATATGATAATGTTGGATATGATATTTCTTGATTACTTGTAGATGAATAATGATTGATATTGTATAAGTGTAATGCATTTTCTTGTTTTGGTTTTTCGAAACCAGCAGCTATGAGACCTTGGGAATTGAAAGATAATGTATTACAAGCACTCTTTTGTTGGATTGTTATACTAGCAGAGTTTTGTGATAAAATGTCAAACACCTTGACTGTCCCATCATTTTGACCAGTAGCCACAACACCAACATTAACTGGTGAGTAATCACTACATCTCAATCCATCAAATCCTTTCCTTGTAAGCACTTTGGAGATTCCTTCATCTTCTTTCTAGACAATTTTTGCGTTAATAACACAGCGCTAGTACCAGAACGTCTTCATACAACTACTCACTGTTGTCAATTGAGTCTGATACAACGACACCTCATCGGCCAATGGATTTATGGTCAGAAACCGCTGTGTAGAACCTTCATCCCAACCATAGGCTCTGGTAATCTTTCCCATTCTCTTCAAGTAATCCTTGTCACAGTCAAAACCTTTTCAAACCGTTGAAATAACCAAACCTTCACTTATCAACAACAGTAAGAAAACGAAACTCCGATACGTACATTTTCGCGAGTACTCGAGAAAGAGGTTCGAGCAACACAGAATGATAGCTTTGAAGTGTACAATATTGTCTAATTAGGAAGGCACCTTAGGTTGATAAGCTTCTTGAGTGGAATGTCAAACTTTTTGGTGTTTGTAGAATATGATCTTATACCCTTCCATATTCATAGAGATACCCTCTTTAACCCACCTTCAAAATTAGACAAAGAGATCACACCATAAAAAGTGCTGTCTTTACCAATTGCTTAATTTTTTCTCATGATCACTTTCATAACTTGAACAATTTGCAGGTATCAAATCACCTTGAACTAGAAAAGAAGGAGCCCCCTCTAAAGAGAGAAGTTGGATAAACAGAGAGTTTCCAGACGGAACATCAAGAACTTCCAAAAGAATATAGAATGATAGATCTTCCTAGACTTGAAGACTACGATGTCTCTCCAAAATCTGGGTTTATTCCAGAAGAATTGCCGCTATCTAGGTTAACTTCAAAATATTTTGCACCTTGGGAAACACTGGCTGAAGTGTTACCATCTTTAATATTGACTAAAAAAATCAGAGCTCAAGTGGAAAAATTACCGGTGCTAAGTATTGATCAAATCAAAGGCAATAAGAGAGAACTTAGAAGGGCTTATTCGGTTTTAAGTTTCCTAACACATGCTTATGTATGGAACGTTGATGTCCCAACTGATACTTTACCAAAATCATTAGCTCAGCCATTACTTGAGGTTTCTAAAATTTTAGAGCTTCCTCCATTAGCTACTTACTCAGGTTTAGTATTATGGAATTTCAGACCAATTCTACCTCTTGAAGATGGGGAAGAATGGAGCTTGGAAAACTTGACCACAATAAACACATACACAGGATCTATTGATGAAAGTTGGTTCTATTTGGTCAGCGTATATTTTGAATATAAAGGTGCAAGCTGTATAACTGATGGGCTAGATGCAATTAAAGCCGTTAGAGAAAATGACAAAGCAACAGTTAAAAAGAATTTACAAAACTTAGCAGAATCAATTGATAGACTAGGATCCGTTTTGATGAAGATGGAAGAAATGTGTGATCCTCATACTTTTTACTATAGAATAAGGCCATATTTGTCTGGATGGCAAAACATGAAAGATGCAGGTTTACCAAATGGTTTGAAATATGGTGATGAAACGGAATACAGATCTTATGCTGGTGGTTCGAATGCACAATCATCATTGATTCAAACTTTAGATTTAATTCTCGGTGTTGAACATTTCCCAACCGGTGAGAAAAGAGAAACAAAATCATCAAAATCGATTTCATCCTTATCTGGTACAAATAATTTCATGAATGAAATGAAAAAATATATGCCAGGACCTCATCAAAGATTTTTAGAACATCTTGGTCAAGTTGCAAATATCAGAGATTATGTTATGGAAACTGATGACTCAGAATTGACCTTATCATATGATGCATGTCTTGCAATGCTCAAGGCTTTCAGAGATAAACATATTCAAATTGTAACAAGATATATCATTTTACAAGCTAAATTATACAAAAAGGCTGGTTCATCAAACACACTTAGATCTGGGATTTCCAAAAGTGCTGAAAAATCAGAACAAAAGGGTACTGGTGGTACTTCACTGATTCCATTTTTGAAACAGTGTAGAGATGAAACTGGTGATCCTGCAGCTGGTGATTGGGGTAAGAAAGTATTATCTTCAGGCATGTTGAATAACAAGTATAAAGCAGAACCAGTAGCTAAAGACCAAGATGAGCATGTTAATAAAAAACCTAAATTAGGATTAGCTGGTAATTGGAATGATGGAGGTGAAGAGACAGGACACTGGTGATTCACAACTTCAATTATATATATATATATACTTATTTTTTATATGACTTATGACAAGAAAAACAAAATACTACGTAACGATGTTGTTTTTACAAACACACATTTCGAAATTTATTTATAAATCAATTATATTAAACTCTTTGTACAAATTGTTTGACCTTTGGATGAACTTCTAATGTCATCATATCTATAAACCTTTAAGTAAACGAGTAACTTCATCAACACCAGCGCTACCTTTAGCTTCTTCTAATTTTTCTTGGACTTTGGTAATAACTTCATCAATGGCAATAAGTTCACCATCATCATTGGCAAATTCTGGACCTAGTCTCTTAACTCTTAATTTACCTTCTAAATATTCTTCTTTACCTAGGATAACAGCAACTGGAGCACCTGATTTTTCAGCGGCTTCGAATTGTTTTCTTGGGTTAGCTTTAGCTTTGTAAACATATTCAGTTTCAATACCTTGAGACCATAATTGTTTAGCAATGGCCATACGTTCTGGTAAGTAACCTTTCCAATCTGGACCACCACCGAAAGCCATAACAAAGACTTGAGTGGCACTTGGTTTGATGGTTAAGTCTTTCTTTTGAGCTTCACGTAATTTAATCAATGAGAAAATTCTTTCAATACCGAAAGAAATACCAACACAAGGAATTGATTGATTTTTTTTACCATTAGCAGTAGCAAATATATTAACCAAGTTATCATATCTACCACCACCGGCAATTGAACCAACACCAACGTATTCTGAAGCATCTTCGTCATCTGATTTCTTTTGTTTTTTCAATTCTGAAGCATTGGTTGGTGGAGCTGAAGCTGAGGTAACAGCTTCATAAATTAAACCAGTGTAATAATCTAAACCTCTAGCTAATGATAAATCAAATGAAACGAATTTTTCAATTTCAAAAGCTTGAACGTAAGTCAATAAGGTACTCATTTCATCAATACCTTGTTTAGCAGTTTCATTAGCTAATAAAGCTTCACTTTTTTTCAAAGTTTCTAAAACTTCACTTAAAGAACCTTTTAATTTAACATATTCACCAATTCTATCAGCAACTTCTTCAGGTTGGTTTTTTTCTTCAACCATTTCCTTTTTAACAACTTCCCATGGTGTTTTATCTAATTTATCAACAGCACTTGAGATTTTTCTAATATCTTCATCTTTAACACCACAAACTTGGAATAAACCATCTAAAATTTTTCTATGATTGATTTTAACTTTGAATTCTGTTATACCTAAACCTGTTAAACCTTCAACAACAATAGCCAAGATTTCAGCATCTGGAACCATTAAATCATAAGAACCCGCAACATCAAAATCACATTGGTAGAACTCTCTCATACGACCTTTAGTCATAGCAGGTTGATCACGACGATAAACTTTAGCAATGTGGTATCTTTTAATGTTTTGAATATTGTTCATGGCAACATATCTAGCAAATGGAACAGTTAAATCATAACGTAAAGAAGTTAATTCACCACCTTGATCTTGTAAATTGTAAATCAATTTAGAATCTTCACCATATTTACCAGCTAAAATTTCACGTAATTCAAAAACTGGAGTATCAATGGTAACACCACCATGACGTTTGAAAAGACCTGACAAAGAAGAGAAGATGGCTTCTCTAATGACCATATCTTTATCAGCCCAATCTTTGGTACCTTTTGGAGTTTTCAATTGGAATTGTAATTTACTTTCCTTTTTAGATTTTGATGATTGTTTAGCAGCATCTGCTGAAGCAGCAGCGCCGGCTTGAGCGGTGGCTAGTACGTTATCTTGTGGGTTTGTTGACATGGCTCTTCTGAATGTGTGACTTGTCAGCAATCTCTTGATCATAAACACAAAAAAGCTTTAAGCTTAAGACCTGATAACCTTTTTTTTTGCATCTCTCTGTCATATGTTGAACTTTTTTTTTTGACGCACCAGTGAATTGAGTCAATGCAACCGGGCTTCAAACCACCATATATATAAGAATGGAAATAACTACGGAAAAAACACTTATAACCTAAAAATTCAATTTATTACTATTACATATTATACATTTATGATATCTATATCATTATTTTGATATTCTATTTAAGTTTTTCATCAACAATAGCTTCACCTTGTTCTTCAAAATCTTCCTTAGAGATGTAATGATTTTCAAAACTATTCATACTTGCTAAAACACTAGCACCTATCCAAGTTGCATTGGATCTTTCAGACAATGTAGGATTTGAAAAACTTTGTACACCAAATGTAGTTAAAAATCTGGATAAATCACTAATCAATCTTGTTTCTAGACCTGGTAATAATGAAGTACCACCAGTTAATATTATATTGTTTAATAAACTTGCATAAATATCTTGTGTAACGTCTAATTTCTTCAATGCACTCAAAATCAAGTCTGTTAGCCCCACTGAATCCTTTGGTAGTTCAATTCCTGGAATTGGGTATGATAATGGATGGAATAAAGGTTCTGATAATAAGACTTGTTCTTTACGAACTTCAATGGTTTTACTATCTGGTAATTGATAATTCTTTGGACTTATTTGGAAATCAGCATTTGAATTAACAATTGGGTAAGTTGAAACTGAGTTGATAGTGGATTTAAAATCTGTTAATAATTTGTTTGTTTGGAATACTTTATATGATTCTGAACCTTTAACATAATCAAAATTTGTAGAATTTTCCAAAAATTTCAAAGTGTGAACATTTAAGAAATCACCAGCAAATTTAGAGTGTGCAGCACCTTTGTATAGAATAGTACCATCAAGAATTGGCGTAACACTAGCCCTTGAACTTCCAATATCAACAACTAATGAGGTTGATCTTCCAAGACCATATGTGATTGCAATTGGTGATTTCAAAATTGTGAATACTGGAACTCCAAATTTAACGAAAGCTAATTCAGCAAGTTTCACTCTGTTTTTTTTATTATTCCATAATTCTTCAGTAATAACTAATGGGAACTCTTTTGGATCAACTTTCAATTTTGCAAAAATATAAGCCCAACTTTGTTCTAACGCTTTCCAGTTGTATACCACACCTTCATTGACAATGGTGAAAACTTCGTTTTCTGGTTTGATATCATCATCGAATAAATATTTTGGGTTTTCAGGATCTGATGTTGATTCAGTAGAATACACGGTTGGGAATTCTAGAGATGGTAAAGTTTCTGTTGAAAATCCTGCTCTTGTTGTGTGTGTACCATTCTCTATCACGATGGATGTTATTTCTGGTGTTGATGACATTTTTCAAGTTATTGGAACGAGTGTGGAAACTAAGCCCTTTGCTGTTTAGAATTGTGACACCTGCGGTTTTGTTTTCTATAAACAAATCTGAGCTCAAACAATCAGTAATTTTCAAAACTTGAAGGAAAAAAAGGTTTCGTGGATTCGCGAATATTTTTCTGATCAACTTCAAAACAAAAATCAACACCAAAATACTGTCAATTAACCCTTTCTACGACAGAGAAGACCAACAATAAGATCTACTGAGGTAACAAGGAGCATACAGGGCGCTTATTTGAGATTGGAAAATGGCTACTGACAGTTTGAAAGAGTACGAAAAGCTCAAAAAACAATTACAACAGGCTATTTTGAAGAAGAAATCATTAGATAAACAAATAACACAAATAGAGGAAGATATATTTCAAAAAGAGACAATGTATTTATCAGAATCACATAATTCCAATATAGTAAGGGGGTTTGAAAGCTTGAATAAGCTGAATCAATCCAGCAATGTTAATAAGAAGAAGCTGGTATTCACTGATGATGATAGAGTGTTCAGTCTGAGTTCACATACATTTGTTAGACATCTACAGAAGAAGAATGAGTTGGATGAAGATGATGATGACAGTAATGAAGGTACACCAGTTGCAAGTGCGTCAAGTACCACAAAGAAGAGGAAAAGAGCTGAAGAATGAGTCGTTTATATGACTTGTGTATTATAGTATATACTTGGGTTAATTTAATGGGTAATGATAAGGTATAAAGTTAGAAAACTGTGTAGATCTTCATGAGAAAGATACGCTCAGTACCATAGCACTATAATCTGCTTTACTTTTCCTAAGCTCTTCATATGTTTAGTTGGATTAATCTTTATTGGAATAATTCATTCTCATTATATTGATTATGTAATGAAATTTTGCCAATTTAATTTGTCGAGGAAAAACATCAACACTTTTTTTTGTATCTGAACCATAAACCCAGGAAATAAGACATAATCTACAACGGTAGATTTTAGTCATTGTCTAGACCAATTACAAATTCTTGAGACATTCCAAGCTCAAGATAATGAGACCACATCCATATCTTCTACAGCAAGTCACACAGAATGCTAGACCTTTCCTTGTGAAGGCATCACACATCCCTATATCACCATCTTCACCAATCTTCATTCATCATAATAAGATCTTGAGTATCAAGACAACTTCGTTAAACAAAATTCAATCTCAAACACAATATCAAAACATCTTAAAATCAATCGTATTTGGTGGGTTTTATTCCAAATATCGTAAATTTGAAAGTCTAATACCATTTGAGCTTTTCATTAGTGGGAACAATAACAATAAACTGATACTTGATGGTACGATAGATTGGGCAATTTTACCTAGAAAAGCATTGACTGGATATAAAGGGATAGCATTAAATGTTTCACAAAAGAAAACTCCATGGAAATCTGGATTAGCAACACTTATAAGATCTGGTTATATTCACATCTCTGGTAGAGGTGAAGCCTTCATAAATTCAAGTGGTGATGTCCATACTATTAAATTGGAAGCTGGTGAGCAAATCATAGTAAGACGTGATGGTATCGTTGCTTTGAGTGTCAATGGTAAAGAATTAGGTGAAGCTACTGAACCTGTCAAGTTTGGTGATAATACATATGAAGAAATTGAATTAAACCAAAATGAATCAATCAAAAGTGAGAATGAACTGAAAGATATTGCAATTGGGACCTGGAATACATTGAGAAAAGGTGGTCAATGGCTATGGGATCAAGTAACAAAAGATGAATTTGTTAGAATAAAAGGTCCTAGAAATGTTATCTTATCAAGTGATGTATCAACTAGTTTTGAATTTAACAAAAATTCAGATGATATTGGGTTGACCGAAACTTTGATCCAAAAAGCTAAAAACTCAACATTCGAACATTGAGGAAAGAAACAAAGAATCTTCTGAATCCACAGCCGCTTGTTTACAACATATCACTCTACAGGTATAGATATTCATATTATATAAGACTCATAATAATGTTAAAAAAATGCATCTAATATCAGCTGGTATTAACCTATTCCCGTAACTAAGTTCTTTGAAGTAAACATATTGCTTGTGTAACGTGTCTCTCACAATAGCCAGGTATTATTTGATAGCAGCTAGCTACTGTAAAATGTACATATGTGTCTAGTATACTCATCTATAAGTTATAACTTATAACTAGAATCCAGAGTCGCGCTAGTTGAGATTCACAACGATCTACAAGTCCCTCAACTTGTCCAACCAACGATCTTCATTCTGTCGATTTACGCAAAGTGTAATAATTCAGATTCTGAAATGCAAAGGTGCAGAAGTTGTGAAAAACTGCATCTTGTGGTTCGCCATATAGCCATATGTTTCAACCCTTACTCCTGATAACCGATTCACCAATAATAACATAACTAGTTCGAAAACTTTGACTACTGTACTGTAGTGTTTCACCTATTCGTACTTCCTGCGTTAGTGCAATATTTCTCGTAGTTAAGTATTGTGATTAGCCTATTGTTCAAAATGCGTACTACTTTCCTTTCAAAATGCGGGGGGCTTTGAAAAGATGTGATACACTCGTTGTAAAATATATAAATCTCCTTCAGCTTTTTGAGTATACATATACTGTGAGCTTCGGATAATCACCCGATTTGTACAGCGCCTGGATAGATATATACCTTAAATGATAATGTCTACCCTTCAATGGTACTGGTTAAGCCTAATCAAGCATTCAATTACAGCTTTAAGCAAAATTTGCTTAAAAAGGGTCGGTGCCTTAGACCAAAATATATTGTTTAAACTTACCAGCAGTCAACTGTCAAAACGAATCAGCTAAATATGTAACCATGTCTTTGAAATTTGATTATCCAAATGATGGTTATAATAAGTACCGATGAGCTCTTTTCGGAGAAACACATGTCTGGTTTGTTTCTGATGTACCAATTTTGCATGTCCAAATATATACTATCCCAGCTCATGAAGAAGATCTTTTCATCAATATACTAGATGTTCAACATATCGATCTTGATATGTGAATCTTAGTTTAACTATCTATTCACATGTATAAATGATACTAATATATACTATGATATATATCATTAATGAATTGACAATACCATAATAATTATATCTACAATAGAGGCCGGTACATGATACCTTATAATATAATTATATATATATATATATTTGGATCACGAATATATTTGCAAGCTGGTAGGGCTTTATATATAACACGTCTAGCATGGCTAGTTGAAACTTGAAACTATGTAATTATATGTATATATTTGATTTGATTTAATTAATAATCGGATCATCAACTAGTCATTGATAATATAGTATAGTACGTACTACACGGTGTTATAATAGGTATTCTGGCGCGTATTCTTGTACGTCTTAAATTGAATTGATAACGCGTCACGCCTGATTATCAATAATTGTATATATGTATGTATCAACTGTATATATTCTAATCAACGACGACTTGATACAATGGTTATTCAGACGTGTTATTAAATATATGAAATTATGATCCTCTCCAAATGAAACGTAGTAATATTATGAACTGATCATTCAATTGAGGTGTATTGTATGTATAATTGTACGTCCATTAATAAAGAGTAAAGAAGACAATGCTTATGTTGCTCAAATTATACGTGTGTAGTATAGTACGTCGACTAAATATTGCTCGTAGACATCATGTCTTGAAATATTTACGACGAGTACTTCTTTCCGCAAACTGGCTCCATCAACTTGAAGTCTAAGACAGGATTATAATAATTTTGTTCACTAGCTATGTACTAAGTAAAATTTAAGTATAAACCCATCATGCATCACAGAATATAAATTTGAAAGGTTTAGTGCTTTCTCATTCACCTATTCAACTTATAATTTATCGAGATCGACCGTGTAATCAAATGTGTTAGTTTTACCATGCTTTTTGGTGTTGATTATCTTAATTTTTACATGTCTTTACCAGCCACAAAAGCCTCATCAAGCTGTATTATCCCAACTATATACACCATATCACTCATGAAATGAACCAGATACAGAACACTAATCCTTTTTGATTGACACATTCACAAAGACTTCCAACTTTGGAATCGTTGCTCCTAATTCGTAACTCGATGCTGTTTTAAGCTCAATATTATGTTTATCCAATTGTGTCTGAGCTCCACTCTAGTATATTTCACTCAGACAGCTTGTATATACTTGTTCTCCTTCTAGATTTGCTGTTGAAGTTTTATTTGAAACATTATTGTAGGGTGTTTCTTCTGTCTCGCGAAGTTCCTTTAAAACCCGGAACTGTACGTAGTATGTTAGTCTTTAGAGAGTTATAACGTTATAACAGCAAATAATTACTATATACTAGCTCTATACTAGCTATATGCGGAGCTCTCCCATACTAGTTAAATACCCCACTAGCCAGTACTAACACAATATATAATATTGTAGAAAAAAATTGATCACTGATCCTCGGATAGCTATATACCAGCTACGATTAGCTAATTAACGAGCGCATTATGATATAATTATATTGGAGAGTCATACTCTCATTATATACTAGATCATATTATTAATATATTGCGTACAGATTCCAATATAACACTAAGTTATATATTCAGCTCTATTGCAGTTATATATGGTATCGCTTTCTAAAATCTCAGGAATCTTCAACTTATACGTTCAAACTTCGGAGTACTTCAGACGTTGTGGCATAGCCAGCTATATACTCATGGTTATTTACGAATTGAGAAAGCACATGAATCACATTATACAGCTTAATTAATTCTGTATGTTAAGGAATCATGCTGAATTACTTAGAATGTGCTAAACCCAGCGTCATTAAACCAGTTAGCACAGATAGAAAACATATTAATATAATTGTGAGGTACATGTACATTATACTTTCCCGTGTCTAATATGGACGTGTGTCTCCGATATATCTTGAAACCACTGGAGTTGATTTCATCAACTAGTAGAGGAACTGCATGGTATTCAACTGTAAATATTAAGATAAACGATATCCCCCGTGATAGTCCTTGAAAGTTGATAGTACTCCTTCTAGTACACATTATAGGATACATTTCTGGAAACAAACTTTACATGGTTATAACAATCTGATATACCTGAAATATTTAAGTGCGTCGGTAAGCGCTTATACAGCATATGGGTTGGCGGTACATGATGAACATTATCATTTAAGATCTAAATTTTAAAACAAAATACGGTTTTAGACGGGTACAAAAGATATTTATCGTCATGAAAGATACAGCCAATAATAAACATCCTTAGAATTGTAAGCTATATTGTATATGATATTGTCCATAATCAAAGAAGACTTTCAAGCTTTCAATGGGTTGGAGAAACCCATTAATTTAACTTCGACATGAACTAATTATTAGATATCTGTGTATGTATTAGCCATGTTATACATGAAGAATCGAAGCATCAACTGTCACATCTCTTTTTTAGATCGTGATCCTGTTAAATATCCATATACTAGATCATAAGGACCAGTAACTTCAATATAGACATTTATTTAAGTACTGCTATAGTTATATTGAATATCAGCTAATATATTTACAAGATGTGCAGCAGCTACACGAGAACCTTAATGCGTGATTCCAACTTCCCACTAGCTGTTATCAAAGAACTAAAATTATTATTAAAACAGCATACGTGCACACTGCACTACGTACTTGTGAGTTAACCAATTCATATATAATATATACTATACACAATTGACGCGTCATGTCTGCTTGGGTAAACCCAGAAAATTCAGAAGTCATATATCAAGCTATATTGCACATATATATGTATCTGTGCTTCCATTATTTGATCAGTAAATTTAATCATGAAGCGGTCAGTTAAATTATAATAAATTAGGACCGGTAACCGGTATAATTAATATAGGGGTAGTGTGTGCTGTCAGGGCGATGAGCCACGTAAATGTTAATTGCACTGACCTGCATAGGACAAATTCAAATCTTAACTTTAAATTCCTATTTTTATACCCGAGTCTCTAGAGTCGAGCGCCCTGAATCCTGATCCGCGCAAACTAACTTTGAGTCTTTGAACTTTAAAGATCCGAACTCGAAGACTAGCTGCTGTATAAGAAATTTAATTAAGAATTAATTAGAGTTATTGAGGGTAAAGTTTAATTCTATGATCACGATCATTAATATAGATCATGAGAATCGTGATGCTCAATAAACTAGCTTTATAGCTGATCAACTATGACACCTTATAGAATTCACGACCTTCGCCAATATTTAGCTACTTTTTAGCAATTAAGCAGCTCATGAATGATTAAACCTAGCAATTCATTTTATAATTTTAATTGATCTAGTCAATTTTGAGTTATATGCTATTATATTATTATAAACGTCAAATTGTCATAAAAATTGGCCAAATATTAATCGAATATATATATATATATATATTATATCATGTAAATATATATACACGAGCGCGTATTGTTTAACGACGTAGTACCCGTAGTACAGCTGACCAAAAGATATTTACTTCATGATCTTAAATATGATCATTCATATTATTTTAGCTGTCAAGATAGAGATCTCGAATATAAATATATCATATTATAACCGACGACGTATATTACAATTTACTACGCTATAAGCTCGAATCATGTTTATATATATTAAGAATCTGTATATGTTTTTATGGCCTACGTTAAAATTGAAATGCAATATTCAAGTATAGATTCAACGTGATACAACAAATAGACATGACGCGTGTAAGCTGTATACTATAGTCGACCCTCCAACTACAGACGTCCTTATAAACCATGCTTATTTTACCTTCAGACCTCAGCTATATAGTCAAATTACTGAATTAACACGTGAATTGATCACAAGGCCTTCATAAATATAATGATCAATTTTATAGATTACTCTACTATAATAGTGCAGCACCAGTACGTGAAAGTGATCTGATCTATATTATTTATGGTATACTATACTATACTATATATCATATATATTATATATGGTACAACATATATATTTGCGCTAATTATTATCAATTTGATCGCGCTGCATATTCAATTTAAACTCATGAGCTAGTACATGACAAAAACGTACAGCTCAATTATATATGACAGATCTATCATCCAATACCGGGTGCAAGTTAACAGCTATTTGAACCTGTTAACAGTCGATATAGAAGAGCATAGATATATATTGTCAATGCAAATGTATTAAAGTATAGGCACATAGATTTAAGAGACGTTGAAATTAACCTTTGACATTCACTTGCTCAAAGTTACAAATGAACTAAGGTATCTAGTTCAATTGATTCAACAAAACTGCTAAAGTACGAGTCAAAATTCAAGACACCCAAATCACTATTATAGCTGTTTTCAGCTCATCATATTTATATTATGTTTGATCGTAGCTATTCGAGTTTATATTCTAGCTTTCGATTAACAGTTACCATGGTTTGTGGTCCAAAAGATCTGTAAAAATTAGTACCTTTTACGAACAAGATGAGCTTAAATCAAAACTACATTATCAAATTGGTCCATTGGCTCTAAATTGGGTTATAGAACTTATTTTAAAACGGTACTGTATTGGTCTATGAACTATGGTCCGTTCGATGGAAATAGGATTGTTCTTTGTCAGTGAAAATGCTTCGCTGGTTAGATCAAGAACCATATACGGACTCAAATAAAAACTCAGTTACCGTGGGGCCCAGGTATTCAGCGTTCATATGATATATATAAGAAATCTCGAAAAACTAGATAAATACATTATAAGTAGACCAGATCAATATTTCTGCTCTAGGATTTACTAACCCCATATGGCCCGTGTGCGTACATGGCATAAATATGACAGGTACCAGCTACGATTATTTCTATCTTTCAAATGTTAGTACTAATAACTATACTGTTTCAGTCGAAACTTTCTACTTATACGCACTTCAGCTGCTATGTTTTGAATATATGTTTGACTTTCAGGACCCTCTGCAGTTGTTCTTAAATAAAAGCTACTGAGCCGATGGAATCCATAGCAGTCATAATATTATAATCATGAATATTAATGCACTGAGTTGAAACAAGCATTGTATTAATTAACCGGCCAATATATTTGAAATCTGTGAATAGAGTATTTAGTGAACAAATATTGTAGCTCGGAAGGCGATGTCATGAAAATATACGAACTTAAAACTTTTCAGTATCCTAGAAAAGATTATATAACAGCTTGCACACAAAACAATCACACCGATACCACACAGTGAAATGGAATAAAATTTTAATCATCAATGTAAGTTTGTCTTGGGGCATGTATAGCGTCTAATATCCTGGGACCCACTTTCAAGGATATAAGCAGTTCATCCTTTATGGGTGCTCTATTCTCGAATCTCGATGCATTTTAATGTCTAATTGAACATTATTTATTGTTAATCATGCCCGGTAGAATCATCGTCTAGCTGGATGCTGCCAGCTGCTATCTGAAGTTTGAGAACACCGTGTTAGTATATATTTTCAAAACCTTAATTTTCTCACATATCTATAACAGGGTATGTTTCAACTTTCAAGCTGGTTTCATACTCCTAGACTCAATACAATAAAAGCGATGGGCATTGACTCTTGAGTATGCCTAGTAATTCTTGAAGAAACGAACTCACCAGCAATTCAAGTATCATGAGATTATAAACGCCATGCTTGAACACAAAAGGTGATCAAGCTGTCCAGTACCTGGTACTGATGAACTATAAAGCTATAGCAAAAATTTACGATCTCTGGATATATATTTGGTAATTCGAGAGGTGAATTTATCATCCACCTAATTATATTATGCAGATTAACAGCTATATACAATATCTAATTATATATATAAATTTTGAAAAGCTTTGAAATATATCAATATAATTCCACAAGCTGCTGCTACGTTAATTCATGTTATAATTAAACACAATTCTTTTAATTTGAATAATTCAATATTATAATTTATTAAATTATATATATATAATACAAACCATCATGATATTCATAATTTGATTAAAACATAAATACTTATATATATATATCAACATCAATTTAAGATTTATATAGTATAAGCCAATTTCATCTCTTTGTAATTAATAAAAACTGGCTATAGTATATACTATATATATATAGATCTTAAACCAAAAAAAAACATAAAACATTAAACAATAAAACCGAGAACGATGTGTAAAAATGAAGCTAGATATGATAAAATCTAGATGATATAACTTTGGCGCTTTTAGTATTGATAATGGAAATAAATCATGATATTATATCGTATGAAACGATTATAACGGAAAACAACTTCTAACTATGGATGTTCATTTGAAAACAGAATGATAGTATTAAAAATAGACATAATGGAAAACTGATAATTAATATAACTTTGATGAAAAATAAAATAGTACAACAATCATTAAAGAACTGAAAATAAATGTGAGCAAAAAGCCCGAAATAAAGAACCAAAACTATCATGCAGTAAATTCTTTTATGAAAAAATCAATAGCATATGGAAACAGTGGAATAATAATTAAAAATTATATCTTTATATTCATGGACCCAGTGTGTGAATCAATCACGGTTTAAGCCCTGGAATATTCATTGGTAATAATACATGTTATTGTAAGTATTGCCTTGTAGTAAAGGGTTTGGTGCTCCCTGGTTTGCTATATCTTGACCTGTTGGTGTTTGTACAGTCCCACTTGAAGATGGTGGATTTTGGTTTAAACCTGACGAAGAAACTGGTTGTGGACCGTGCACTTGAGGTGTAGATTGATATTGTGAATCTTGATATGAACCCATTGAAGGTTGTTGATATTGGATTTGATGTGCTGGCTGGTTATAAAAAGGTTGTTGGTAGTTGATAGGTGGTGGTTGATTTTGAGGAGTTGAATTTGATTGTGGTGGAGGTTGTTGTTGACCTTGTGGATGTGGAATAACACCTGGTGGATATTGATAATACGGATAAAAAGATTCTTGAATTGGTGGCTGCAAAGAATAATTAAAATTTGAAGCATCTGGAATACTATTGTATAATTGATTTGAATGATTTCCTTTAAATGGATTTGAACTTGATGAGCTTGATGATGTAGATGATGGGTTGACAGCTGAAGAGTTGGCAGAGTTATTGGAATTTAAAGTGCTTGTTGTAGTGGAAGTGTTGGTTCTTGAAGTATTTGAATCATAATATGGGATAGCATTACCACCTATATGACTACCATCAGTTGTTGGATCAATAGTATATTTTGATAAAACTTTTTGTAGTGATTCTCTTAAGGCACTCCAAGATAAAACTTTAACGTCTTTTTCAATATGTCTTGGTTTAGGGTTCTGGAAATTCATAATTAATTGAAAAAATCTATAAAATTTTGGATTGGATTTTGAGACTGTTAAAGGTTTAAGACTTTGTAAGTTTCTTCTGATTCTATTTTTCTCTTCAACAGGAAATTTTGAGTTCACCAAATATTCCAATAAGGTAATTAAATCAACTGATGTAACATAAAATTTGTTGGTTTGGTTCCAATAAATACATGAAATAACTGGTGTACCCGGAATGTAATCACTTTGATCAATAGGTTTAAAATTTAGTACCAAATGATTAAAATGCTGCTTGAACCCAATAGCAACAAGTCTTCTTGAATTTTCAATTTCTTTTGGAGTCCAGTTCATTGTCATTGAGTTTATATCACCTTGGAACTCCATTGTGACTTTCAAATTTAAGAATTTGTTGTTTTGATCATCATTTTTCATATACTCTTCATTATTGATAGAGCTTGCCCTTATAAGTTTAGGGAGAATATGTGCATATGTAGGTAGCGAGATGTGTCTTGGAAATGAGTTTGGTGGTGGTGGTGGAAGCTGGAAAGCGTGTGAATGTTGAAACTCAGCGGTAGTAGGATCAGGTATGAGTCCTTGTGGTGTAACAGTGGCTGTTTGCATGTTTACTGGTGGTGGATATTGGTTTATATTTGAGCTTTGAGTGGGATTTGAACCTTGATCTGAATTCAAAGGGATATTAGAGCTTGTGTTATCAGTACTCGGTATATTGGTTTGATCACTGGGTGTCTGCCCGTAAAAGGATTGTGTTTTGGGTATCTGATTAGGCATTGACTATAACCATGCTCAGGTCTAACAGTGTAGCCCAAGAAATTATTCAACCTTAAAACTGTGAGCTCTTCTTTGAATGGTGTGATGAGCTTCTGTAAGTTGGATGAGCTTCTTTATATCTAATAAATAAAGGAGCTTTTGGAAAAGTGTTGTTTTTTTTTGATGAAATATACCAGTTTTATATGTTATGGATTTTCGTGGACTTGGACGTGAAGAAAAAATATCCCGAAAGAGAATCTAAAATAAGCAGCGCAGGAACAATGTAATCTGGGACTTTTCAAAAGTTGAAGTTGAAGATATGAAGTTGAAAAGTTAATCAAAGATGGAAATGTTGAATAAGTTTTGATGAGTTTGTAAAGAATTGCTATCTGTGGTGCCTTTGAATCTATAGTATGCTGTTTTAATGGTTTCTTTTCTCTGATCACAACTCTTGTCAAATGATGAACAGAATTTTACCAAAACCATATAATTCAGAACCAGTGGAAAGTAGTCTGTTTATATAGAAGTAATCCAAGAACCTGTTTATTCGTTTTTTTAGTGTTCCACCTGTTTATATGGCAACTCATAAATGTCTATCTTTGACATATGAAGCAGATAAATTGGAAACAATTTGAGAAAAAGAGCTGTAACTCATTGTTTTTTCTGATAAAATCTAAAATGATTTTTGCATATTGCAATTAACTAGTTGAAGTTTGAACTGCAGAGTGCTCAATCAAAACTTGAGAGGTGAAGTGCATGAGTTTGTACGAGTCTAGGTTTGTATCTGACGTTAAATGGGACCTGTGCAGCTTCCAACATTTCTTGATCAACGCAGGTCAAGTATACTAGACATAGACACTTGAACATCAACAGCTGAGACATTGGAGTCGGGACACTTCATGAAAACTTTTGAAAGCATTGGAACTGGAAGCTGAGACACAACTTACAAGATTTAATGGCCATCTTGTTTGAGCTTGCAAGAGACTCGAGAGATTGGAACATCTCCGATATTACTTTGATAAGTTGTACTTTTTTGCATCATTAGTGTAGATATTGGGTTTTAAATTTTGGACAAAAGTTTGCTAGTTACCCAATTTTCAAACTGGTAAAATGCACATTGACAACGCAAGTTTATCCACGACCGGCATCTAACTTTTTTCAATGAGTAATCGTCTAACCATATACTGATAACTTTAATATTAATCAAGATCATGAGCTCTGAACCAAGATAAAGGGTCGATACCAAATTACCAGCTAAAGCATCACTTCTAAAACCGGTGAACAACTAATTAGGGTTATAGTTCATTGCCTATACTGACTCTCCGATCAGTTCAACTCTATGCTACCCACAACAATTGCATTACCCAGCAGCTTAATAAATGCTTGAAAATCAATCTAGCAGCTAGAATTGATATCCTTATTGTTTTTAGTTACACTTTGATGGCCGGCTTAGATGATGGTCTAGTCTTGAACTTGAACTAAAATTATGTTACCATTTTTGGTTGAGATTCGTGAATCTAAATATTTTTGCCATGTTCAACACTTACCGTTATCGCGCGCGAAAATATACTGAGCATTGAGCAATGAGCATCAACTTAAAGAAATACGTAAAGCATCAACTACTAACGTCTTGCCTTCATACGCTCTATGTACTACAAGAAAGATGTTGGTGAAGTAACAGTTATTGAAATAGGTTATATCCGGTTTGTACTTATGTGATTTTGGCATAGTCTATTGCTCTTGATACCGTTCTTACAGCTTTTAGCAATTCAATGGTTAAATTAACCGGTTGTCACTAGTCAATAATCGTAGCTCACTGGGCATGTCGGCGACTCGTGATATCAGGTCAAAGACTTAACCAACGTTCCTTTATCAGATGCAAATATATAACTTTGTGACAGCATTAAAAACATAAAGCGTTATTGGGGGAGGACTTGCAGTGCTTTGTAAATTGTGAGCCACTCACTTTTTATTAATTTACAGCTTTAAGAAGCTAGCTGGTGTAACTACTAGCTACCAGCAGGTGAAAAATGTTACAAAATGTTATATTAAATTTATTACATCATATGATCTATCGAATGTTGTATTATATTGAGATATGAACAAGTGTGTAGTAGCTACTAGCCCGGCTCAGGGGCCAGGACCCAGAGCCTAGTTAGGAGTCAGGACTGTACGTACGTATTATCACGATATAATTGGGAGCTAACTATATATGTGGAGTAGCGAGAGATCTTAAAGGCTGTGAAAGCGATGCTAGCAAGTTGCCGGCCTTTGCCTAATTGGGTTCTTTCTATAAATATATACCAATTCTATATTTAATTTAATTAGCTAGCTGTGCAGCTAGAGGTTTCATTTATAGCTTAGAAGTTAACATGTGAAGTATAATTCTTCCTTGATATATATATAAAGATTATAGTTATCTAGTAATTAATAAATGAAAGCTCACATCCTAATTTGAATAAAAGTAACGTCTTTAATATACATCGTCAACTAAATGTGCAGTCCTGCAATACTGGCGCGCTCTGTGACACTCTCAAAATTACTATATTATCAATATATGGGTGGTTTACTGGATCAGATTACGATCATAATTTTCCATTTGTGGTAAAAGTTATAGCAAATACTATCGATTAACTATATTGTAGCGTACTATACAGCCTACAGGCAACAGTTTACTAATATATAACTCAAAACACAAGTCCACTAATATCCATCGTATCAATGACGGCTCACTGCATTATAATAAATATATTATGTCGTAGCACTAAAATGTTTTGGGTGAGGTACAAATCAATTACGCGTCTTTTCGCTGCCCGTTAGCTGGATCTTTAAATATACTTTGACGAATTAATATTTTTAAGAATTAAGTCAGTAAACTCATGTTGCAGAGGCGTTGAGCTAAGCGAAGTAATTCTTTATATGAGGCTATTTATTAGAATTCATATAATAACTGAGAATCTTCTTTGTCAAGCTGGTAGTAAATAATTGCTAATAGCTAATAGCACATTTGTTCATGAAAACAAGCTAAGTCTGACAGAGTAAAATAATCACGATTAAGTCTCGCGTACGGATGTTTGGTGATGCGCGCTTACTCCATTGATCAGCTGTACATGCCTTCCAATACATATGTAGACACATAAATGCATTAGCTGTTGTCTAAGATGTATATTTGTTTAACATGACACATTTACTTTAGTATAAGTATAACGACAGTTTGTCTTAGACATTAACTTCTAGACATCATGAGCTAGAAGGAAACAGAAATTCTTTTTCGGGATATCTTTACAAAAGTGGGTTGAACGAGTATTAGTGCTATACATCTGACATGGACCATGGCGTGTAATAGAAATTTAGTATAAACTGGATCGACTTCTTTCCAAAATCAACGCTTGCTAAATTCTAATGTATTATACGTATAATACAAGCTGTGAAAGCGGGTACCAAATCAGGTCTTTTTGGCTAGTATGAGAAAATCAAGATTTTATGACAGAGGCACAGTGGCACAGAAAACTCAGGAGTCAGGAGTCAGGAGTCAGGAGTCAAGAGTAAAGAGTCGGGACGTAGTAGTTGGCTACTTATTGCTAACTAGTAAGTTGTAACTACGTCCCTCTACCCTCTGCTCATTTTTCATTAGAACGGGTACGCTCTTATTATAAGTTACGTATAACTTTTAAACCGTCCACCGTCCCGTAAATTTGATCAGCAATATGTTTGTTGTGTTTACCATTCGAAAATTAAATTAAGGCCACGGACCACGGTCCACAAGCTGTACCTTTTGGGGTCCCTTAAAAACCTCAACTCGACCATTTAACTAAGGGCTAAGGGCCCTCTAGAGCTAAAGCAGAATCTTAAAGCTACTTCAGCAGTTACTACTGCTGAAAATAATAGTTTGAACTCTGACTAAAGGTGTTCTCACTAGTTCAAGAAATTAATGTTAAATGAAGAGTTCAAATTGGAACTTACATGTCATGAATTATATTATATCAATAATACCAACTTGCCCCTGATGAACATTACTTCATGACATGGGTACTATTCCTTTGAACGGTACTTGCAGGTTATAATAAGGATTGGTACCAACGACGTTTTAAAGTTTGGTGAGGGATAACTAGCTGTCAATTAATTAAACATCTTCAAATTAACTCCTTTATTATAGCCAAATATAAGTGTTTCCATTCCAATTATATATTATAAAATCTCAGCTATATATCTAATATTTTGATTCATAATTTTATAATTGTTACATTTTAAGATGGTATATTGTGCTTGCTATGATCCATAAATATAACTGGAGCTACTCAACATTTGACCTTTGGCTTAACTTGAAGTATTTTACGTCTATATCGCACCTAAATCAAATAATTCAAGTACATCCAGCTCAAGCTTATTTATTATCTTGATCATGAACACCATTTCAGTTATATATTAATTAGCCACTTTTATGGATTATAGTATGGGTCATTTGGGTAGGTCCATCTATATATACTAGATACAAGATACAAGCTACTTTGATCATGGATTGTCTCAATTTATATATCTAAAGAACTATAATTAATCTGGTTGATCTCTAATACATTTCATTCATTTATATATAGTGCCCAGAATTGTGTTCAGCCGTATAGCATATATATAATATATATCTATAATATATTAATTATAGATCAGGATATCTCAATTGATTTGCATATATTATAGACATGTTAATTAATAACAGCTAGTAAATATTTATAGGCTGTTAATATATATCATAATCGAAATAATTCATTCCATAATTTCCACGTTATATGTCTTAAATATATAATAAATCCTATTATCTAATTATAACAATGATTGATTTACTTATAGGATCCACCTGATCTTGGGTGTTCCTCATTTATATAGGCTGGACTAGTACTATTTAGCGTGTGATCATGAGTCCTAATATGTATAAGCTGAATTATTTTTTTATGAATTAGACAGTTAATATAACTTATAACAACAGAATAGATACTGGTGCTGCTTCTTAGTAGAAATCCATTATA